AATCACTACTTGAACTCAATAAAATATTTTATAAGCTGACAATTGTTTTAATCGATTAGATTCCCAATGCTCTATTCACTTTATTTGTTGTTTATCTTATAAAGCCATTATATGGCAATATGGATTATGGCCAAATGGATGGAGAATATTATCTTAACCATCTAAGATTCCTAATCGCCAATAGTCCTGAAGAACTACAAGCATAAATTAATGAACTAAATACAGCCAGCAATAAAGTAGGTCACAAAATGAATTTAATAAAACTAAAGTAATGTACCGGGTGTCCCACTAAGAATAGCTCTCGGCTGTATCTCGGAAAGTATTAGCCGTAGGGCTTACGGAAAAAAAAATATTTATAACTAAAGGGGCTATGAGAAATTGCTGGAAATTATTTTCAAATTTGTAAAACGGCCGCTAGGTGGCGCAACTGCTATGGAAAAAGAAAATAGACTTTTTACAAAATTTTGCCTAGATAATGGGTACTATAAATAATAGCTTCATAATCTTCAGTAAATTTTGGATTTTTTTGTTAGAACCATTTTCCCATATCTGTAAAATAAAGTGGTGGGGGAAGGTTAGATCTATCTTTATTTAAATATTAATAACTACGGACTGGATGTTCAGAATCCAACAAATGAGGGCTCGTTTAAAAGAGCGTTTCTTACTCTATATTATACCATAATAATAATAATAATAGTGTTTTGAACGTAGACGCTAGGGGGCGCTTTCTTACAATTTAACAAACATAGCGCGTTTTTTCAAAAAAAATCAATACGATAGTATGTGCTATTTTAGCTGGTAATAAAGAGTAGTAAAAGCTTAAAAAGTCAGCGTAAACCGCATCTTGATATCTTCTTTCAAACAGAAGATTTAGTAAAATTAACAAAATAAACAGTAAGTAACAAAAAAAAATAAGATATAAACAGTTAGTTTATTTTAAACGAAATACCAGAATACCATAATACCAGATGTATTAATATCTAACAATTAAGATATATAGTATAGATATGTAATATATATATATATATATATATATATATATATATATATATATATATATATATATATATATGAAATGAACAAAATTCTTACAGCTTTGAGTGTATATTAATAAATAATATTTTCTTGCCTTTAGCTGTGTATTTTTTCTAATTTCGAAAAATCGAAAGTAGAGAAAAAATAAAAATAAAAAGTAAAGAAAATTGTTTTGCTTGTCGTAAAGGGGGAACCAAGCTCCACTCCCACAACCGGTTTCTGGGCCTACCCTTCATCAGGTGGGCTGTCCAGGGGTTAGTTCTCACCGATACGGCAAGCAAAACTTCTTCTATCTACAGACGATGTCGTAAAGTGTCGGTGAGATATTAGGCTGCCCAGGGGTTGGTTCTCACCGATACGGCAATCGTCTGTAGATATAGAAAAAGTTTTGCTGCCGTATCGGTGAGAACAACTGGACAGCCCACCTGATGAACAGTAGGCCCAGAACCGGAATGAGTGCTTTTCCCCTTTACGACAAGCAAAATTTTCTTTACTGACCTTAATTTCTACTCGATTTTTCGAAATTAGAAAAAATACACAGCTAAAGGCAAGAAAAATATTATTTATTAATATACACTAAAAGCTGTAAGAAATTTGTTCATTCATATATTTGAGCAGGCCGAAAAACGCTCTTTACCATCTTTTGACGGGAGATGCACTAATATCTCACCGACACTTTACGACATCGTCTGTAGATATAGAAGAAGTTTTGCTTGCCGTATCGGTGAGAAACAACCCCTGGACAGCCCACCTGATGAAGGGTAGGCCCAGAAACCGGTTGTGGGAGTGGAGCTTGGTTCCCCTCTTTACGACAAGCAAAACAATTTTCTTTTTACTTTTTATTTTTAATTTTTTCTCTACTTTCGATTTTTCGAAATTAGAAAAAATACACAGCTAAAGGCAAGAAAATATTATTTATTAATATACACTAAAGCTGTAAAAATTTTGTTCATTTCATATATTTGAGCAGGGCCGAAAAACGCTCTTTACCATCTTTTGACGGGAGATGCACTAATATCTCACCGACACTTTACGACATCGTCTGTAGATATAGAAGAAGTTTTGCTTGCCGTATCGGTGAGAACCAACCCCTGGACAGCCCACCTGATGAAGGGTAGGCCCAGAAACCGGTTGTGGGAGTGGAGCTTGGTTCCCCCTTTACGACAAATAAAACAATTTCCTTTACTTTTTATTTTTTAATTTTTTCTCTACTTTCGATTTTCTCGAAATTAGAAAAAATACACAGCTAAAGGCAAGAAAATATTATTTATTTATATATATATATATATATATATATATATATATATATATATATATATATATATATATATATATATATATTATATATATATATATATATATATATATATATATATACTCTATATATATAGATATTAATAATAGTGAACAAGAAACGATGATTCAGTGAAGTCATGGTAGGCTTTGAAAAAAAATTGCTTTTCGCATAATAGTATAAACGTCAAATCGTTTTTTTTTATCTTTTAAATGCTTTTTCAAAATGTCTTTATCTTTGAAGTAGTTGAAGTTGTTGGCATTTTGAAAAAGCAATCAAAAGATATAAAACGCTGCTAAGACTATCAAAATGTTGATCTAATAACAATTTGACGTTTATACAATTACGTCAAAAGCAACTTTTTTCCAAAGCCTACCATGACTTCACTGAATCATCGTTTCTTGTTCACTATTATTAATATCTTAATTATTAGATATTAATACATCTGATATTATGATATTTTGGTACATCGTCGATTTTAAAATAAACTAATTGTTTATATCTTATTTTTAGGTTAGAATGGGCATAATCAAGAGGGCTACTGATACCGTGTTGTAAAAGTAAGGTAATTAAGGGCTTATTTTTTTGGTATTTATTATAATTTTGCTAATATCTTCGGTTTGAAAGAAGATATCAAGATGCGGTTTTCGCTGACTTTTTAAGCTTTTACTACTCTTTACTATCAGCTAAAATTACATATACTATTGCATTTAATTTTTTTGAAAAAACGCGCAATGTTTGTTAAATTGTAAGACAACGCCCCCTAGCGTCTACGTTCAAAAGCTTATTATTATTGTTTATATGGTACAATATAGAGTAAGAAACGCTCTTTTAAACGAGCCCTCGCTTGTTGGATTCCGATCATCCAGTCCAGAGTTATTAATATTCAAATAAAAATAGATCTAACCTTCCCCCACCACTTTTTGGTAGGTAGAAAATGGCTCTAACAAAAAATATTCAAAATTTACTGAAGCTTATGAAGCTGTTACTTATAGTACACCTTATCTAGGCAAAATTGTGTAAAAACTCTATTTTCTTATTTTTTGTTGCAGTTGCGCCCCCTAGCGGTCGTTCTACAAACTTGAAAATAATTTCCAGCAATCTCCCATAGCCTCTTTAGTTATAAATATTTTTTTCCGCAGCCGCTACGGCTAATACTTTCCGAGATACAGCGGAGAGCTATTCTTAGTGGGACACCCTGTACAATGACCTAGTGGAAAGAAAAGACATTCTAATAAATACCACAACACTGGAACTAGTAGAAGAATATGTATATTTGGGACTAATACACAGTTCGGGATCTCTACTACCAGAAATCATCAGAAGAATTAAGTTAGCATGGAGTACTTATGGAAAAAATTCAATCATATTTAAATTTAGATTGCCACTCTGTCTAAAGAAGATAACATTCGACCAATGTGTACTACCAGTCATGACCTATGCATGCGAAACCTGGATACTTAAAACGGGCATCATAAGGAAAATGCAGGCCGCACAACGCTCAATGTAACGAAATATGCTGGGAATAACGGTTATTCCCCTTTTACGGTCTCTCTTGGTTATTCAATAACCAAGAGAGACCGTAAAAGAATAGAGTGAATACGACAAAAGACCCAGGTAATAGATGCCATCCACAGATTCAAATCCCGCAAATGGCAAGAGGCAGGTCACTATGTCTATACTATCTAAGGGTGCAGCCACACTATCCTAAAAACGGCGTATCGGCGTAACGGCGTAATGACCTTGAATAGATTTCCAGTAATTCTATTGGCTGAAAAATTCATCTGTCAGAAATTTTATCTGTCAAATATTTCAGCCAATAGAATTACTGGAAATCGATTCAAGGTCATTACGCCGTTACGCCGATACGCCGTTTTTAGGATAGTGTGGCTGCACCCTAAGAAACACAGCATAATTGGAAATGGTTGAATATGCTGAAAATGATAATGCTGATGATAATTTATTTATAAATAAGGGGTTCTTCTCGAGAGTAAAAGAAGGCTAAAAGTAAACCGTAAAAATATCGTTAAGAGTTGTTCTTGGGTATAATTAGGATCTGCGAATTTTACTTAATTAATATTTTTGCTACTAAATAGCTAGACTGGTTTAAATTTTTTATTCCCACAAACTACAATTTAAAACAGTGAACACTGATAACTTTATACCAAAGCTTGGTAATTATGCAGTATAAGTGTTTTTCGTATTTTTAGAGATTTCTCAAAAATTGTTTTTTTACGTGATTCTAGAGACCAAATACAACACAAATCCGTGTGCGCACGTTGAAATTTTTTTTTACTCCTCTTCATATCGAGCGTTTGTTGGGCGGGTTGGTTAGCGTGGTTATTTGGAGGGTGTTAGGTCAGATAACCACGCTAACCAACTCGCCCAACGTTCGATATGAAGAGGAGTTCGGCTCAACTTGTCAAAAGAACAACAACAGAAAACATCAACATCAGAAAAAAAAATTCAACGTGCGCACACGGATTTGTGTTGTATTTGGTCTCTAGAATCACGTAAAAAAGAATTTTTGAGAAATCACTAAAAATACGAAAAACACCTATACTGCATAATTACCCACAGTTTTATATTGAATATAAAGGTATTTTACCAAACAATAATTTTGTAAAATACACCTATTTTTACTAATGTCACATTTCTGTCACTATTTGGCATTTGACACATTGTATTATTTGGTTAAAAATTTCTAGAAAATATAAAATGGCTTACACAGAATCAGATAAGCCTCAGTATTATCCTGAAAACTATGTAAGTCCTAATATACTTTTTACACTAAACTCGAATGAAAATAATATATTATTTTTAGGATTACTCTGCTCCATACCATGACGAATTTGGCTACAACAATTTCAATAACAATTCTCCAAAATTTTGGTCCTCTGTACCAGAAAATAATTTGAATGCAGTCCTGCCCACGGTGGACTACTTAAACGAACGCAAATGTCCAATATATATTCACGACATCAAAAAAGATTCGAGCGTATATAATAATTACAATCAAAAAAACACTGTGAATTCTAAAGCTAGAAATCTCCACACTCAAAAGATGGCGGGAGTTCAAAATTCTTCGAAATTCATCTTGGATAAGTTAGAGGAATCCTACTGGGCCATGTGGAAACCAAAAAACGAAAATGTACAACATAAATTTTATGAGGATGAAGAGAAAATGTCAGAGATTCGATTACATAGTAGAGGTATTATAGTTTGCAGTTATATTTTAGTGTTAAATACTTTAAAATTGCTGTGAACAGTTATAGCGGAGTTGACTCCCTGTGTCCAACTCTGTTTGTGGGAGTTTTACAATTTAAAAAAAAACACTATTTTTTATGACCACTTGAATAGATATAACAAAACTTTTATTTCATATTCTCATTGCTGCTTTTTTGTTATACAAGATGGTGTTATAACATTTTCAAACCACTGCATCTTTGAATTATTATCAACTTTCATTTTTTAATTACGGACTTCGTAATTAAAAAATGAAAGTTGTTTATGCGCACTGGGAGTAAAAATTCAAGACTGTGACACACCAGCTAGTGGTAACGAAAAATTGTAACAATGGAAAAATTGATAAGCCAATGAGGGAGTTGAGATTAGTGATGGGAAAAACCGATGAATTTTAATAATCGAGTACTCGAGTTTCAAGCGATTTCAATAATCGAGCTATCACTCGAGCGAAATTTCGCTCGTATTTAAATATACGGTTTTTCGCCATCGCCGTCGCTTGTACTTGTACTCGTAACGCCAAGCAGTAAGCTGCGTGCGCAGAGTGCATATCCTTTCGATGATAGTGGCAAGCTACAAGCGACGAGCGACGAGTAGTTTCGCTTGATCATGCATCGAAGCCTTGTCGATGTAGGTGGTAAAATTCATACTCAGTCACACAGTTACGTAACAGATAACGTCGTATAGTCCTATAATTAACAACGCGGTCCGAATCAAAAGAACAATCTGTTGTTTAAAGATATTTTATCAAAAATACTGATAAAATATTGCCAATCTGCAATGTTGTAGCAAATTCGCTCGATAGGATCGCTTGTGTTCGATGTCGGTTATTTCAATAATCGAGTACTCGAGCGAATTTTCGCTCGAGTTATCCCATTACTAATTAAAACGTCTTTGAAGCGTCATAACTCGGGCACTGTGAGCTAGGGGGCCGAATCTTTTCATGATATTTTGACGACGTTTCGTCCACTATGAAACCCGTTGTTTTGACGCAAAAAACGTCAAAAATTGATGTCGTCCGATCGCGACCAAATTTGGTGGGTAGGCTATGTGAGCGACGGTGCATACGGTGCCACCCTGCAAAGTTGGATACGACGTTTCGTTTACATCTTCATCAGGGTGGGACTAAGGATTTGATATTGAAGAAAATGTGTGTCAATTTCGGCATAATTGGGGACGGGCTACAGGATGACGCCCTCGACGTTTTGAACCGATGCATCTGAATGGACGAAATTATCAGGAATTTTCTTAATTATGGGTCGATTGGAACCAAATTCGGCACGTGGATAGAGGTACCCGATTAGAGTCCTCAGATGATTAGGCGGTCATTTTAATACAAACTTTCTGAAAGTGAATCAAATTATTTAATAATTTTTAATTTATTACTTTTTCAACATTTCGAACTACACTTTTTCAAACATGTCCTTCAAATCCTTCATTTTAACAGCTGTTAGTAAGAAGTTTCACTTCAAATATGCGTACATAGTGCACACACAATTTTTTTATTATTTTTTGAGAGCTTTTAAGGTTCCAAAATATATCTCACTTATTCAAAAAATTCATTTTAATGAGATTTTCAACAATAAATTAAGTGTAAAGCTTGATTTTCATGCATCCGTTATCCGACGATACGATGATACGATATTAATTTTATTGGTTGAATTTAAAGACTTCGATTGGTTGGAAACGATTAACCAATAAAAGCCTTTAAATACAACCAATAAAATTAATATCGTATCATCGTATCGTCGGACAACGGATGCATGAAAATCAAGCTTTCGATAGAGAGAGAGAGATTAGATTTTTCGTTAGAAGATCTTGATAATTATAGATATGAATTTTTCCAATAAATGTGACACATTATTGGTTTTGGAACTTTAAGAGGTTAAAAAGGTCTTTAAAGTAAATTCGAGTTCTTAAAGTAATTTTTGCTTATTATTTTAATTGTTATTTTATGTGTATATTTTAATACAAATACATTTTTTGTATAGAAATTATCTACAGAATGTTCTAGGGACGAAAAAATTATCAAACAACGCTAGAGGAGACACGAACGACAATTTAGTGAAACACTTCAAAGCAAAAAAGTTCATTTCTAACAGTTCTACAGCTTCTTGGTCTGATAAAGAAGCTCAGCTAGGTGTATTTCCAAAAATACACAGCATCAATTCAACGATAGAATCAAAAAAATCGTCTGAAAGATATACAAGAAGAAAGCCGATTAAACCTATTAAGAAAGATCCAGTATCTGAAGAAATCCAAACTGATGCTCATTATCCGGTTATTTTAAAAGAAACTGAAACTACATTAGTTGAAATAGCAGTGCCAGAAGTAAAGCAAACTGAAGATCCAGTAGTAGAAGAAGTAGTAGTAGAAGAAGTAGTACCAGAGATTGTTGAAAAGGAAGTTGAAAAGAAACCGGTAGATGTCAAGCGATCGAGTGAAAAATCTTTGCAAAAACATAAAAAGTCATCTCCGCGTCACAAGAAAACTCATTCCAGAAATACTAAAAAGACTAATAACGAAACGGCCGAAGCTAAACCAGCAAATAATGACGATACTGGGGCGTTCATTGATCACAAAGATTCCATAATAATCACCAAAGAAAAGCAAGATAAGGTGGAGAAGAAGTACTATCAGCAACCAAAGTGCATTCGGCTGTACCGGAAGTCTGGAGGTGGAACTTACATCAAAGGAGGAACTTATCCGTTGAAGTCTTGTTTAAAGAGAGATATCGCTCATCCCAAGGGAAATTTTAGGTTAGGAGCACCGGGAAGTCCCCTATTTGTCACTTCAGGTTCATTTCTGAATAATAAACGAAAATAAAGTACAAAATTTCTTTGTTGGACGTCGTGTTTAGACGAATTTGATTAAAAATATTTCAGTAACATCTTGTGATCTTGTGTCTTTTGATGAATCTTAATCTCTTAATCAATAATATTCAATCTCAGATGTATAGTTCATATCAAATAAAATTTTAGTCACGTGATTAAGCATGACCGTCACTGCGTTGCCCACTTTTAAATATTTTTTTTAAACAATATATTTTAGGAAACAAAAATAAATGATAAATTATAAATATATACACATTTATTATTTACATCAACAAAATTCACCTTCTTAACAGCAGTTAAGGAACAAAAATGGCAATTACTACCGCTTTCTCGTTCAAAATATTCTAATAAGGTTGCGATGACTTTTTGGTAACGATTATTAAGCTCTCTTGTACACTTCGCACTAAAAGAGGTTCTAAAAAGAACAATGTTCGACTGCAAGGTCTGCTAGAAAACATTTTCAAGCTTAAAGTATCACAAAGCAATTCATTTAAACTAAAAAAAATACAAAACTAAAGTGTCAAAACGAATGATAATGTCAAGAAATAAATAAATAAATGAGTAAACTTGACATTTTTAACAGCCACCTGAATCCCCAGCGGGAAATTTATATTTCAGTTAGACAACCCGGCGCCGAATTATGTCCAGAATTAATTCAAAAATCGCGTTCACGATTATAGTACGAAAGCTACCAACGTTTTCGAGAAAGTATTTTAAGACGTCTGACTCTTTGATATATCTTTTACTATGCTCTCTGGAACAGCATGCGGCCCGTCTGGCTGTCGATACCCGTTGCGTTCACTACTGCGCATCGGAAGAACATCCTATATATTTTTTTTAATTTTAGCCCTATAAATTCTAGTATTGAATATAAATCGAACATGTCTCCACAGCACAGTGCGTAGAGTTTCCGACCACGAACCGAGGATTCGGAGTTCGAATTCGGGTCAGGACAAAGACTTTTTTATTTTATTTTCATTTATATTCTGATAGTAAAGTATTAAATATTTGTTTTTTTTGAATCACCAGAATTATTATGCATTATTATGTAACTATGGTATCTTTTTATTCCCATGAACATGAAACAATGCAATCTAAAAACCACGATGGTACATTACATAAAAAACTTTATTAGACATTTATTATTTAGAGTTATATAGTTACATCAGATTATAGATAATTTAGTTACATTTTACTGCTTTCGTTATTTCACTTTTTATTTCTTTTATACCTTTACGTTCACCGGTCACAAATGTTTCTCCAAGTTTAATGTAATCTTTTATATACAAAGCGGCTCTTTTCAAACAGTGGGCTTCGTAACCATTGATTTTCGGCATGTGGGCAGATAACAATCCGTGTCGTCCTAATGATGTTAATACGTTTAAAATAAATTATAATATAAGCTGTATTGGCAAAGATAGCTCTCCATTCCCACAAAATATTATGAATTAAAAAAAACAATCTTAAATGTAACTTTAAAAATAAATTTAAACTACAGGGAGTGAATCAACGATCAGTGACAAGCGTTAACGGGTCCGACATTACAGTCTAGGCACAAAAAGTCATTTTTACTCCGAATACAACATGCTATTTTTTTCAAAGGTCGCAAGTAATTTTTTTAATAATTCTAAACATTCCAAAAAATATAAAAAGATTTAAAAGTAATACATTCTAAGTAATTATATCAGAGATTATAAAACAAGTTTAGATTGGAATACCAAAACTTAAATAATTGTTTTGGAGCGCATACGTTGTAGGGCGCTGCTGTAGCGGTTGCTAAGAACAACCACAAACAAGAACCGAAATAAATTTCTCTTGTCAAAGTCAGAATCTTCAAAAATTATAAAATCTTTCAAAATTTAAACAGCTCTTATTGAAAAAAATACCAAAAAGTATTTAAAACGTCCATTTTCAAACTAATTATTGCTATCTTGTAAGTTTAATTTAAATTATTTACCCAAACCCGTGATAATTGTGAAAAAGTGGCAGCTTAAAAAACTTTACCCAAGCCCGTGATAATTGTGAAAAAGTGGCAGCTTAAAAAACTGTATGAACCGTAAACTGCAAAAACCATCGTGGATCATGGCATAACGTCAGTTTCCAATGTTTCATAGGTATTTCATACATGTCCTTATATAAAATAAAGTTTCTTATATGCGTCACACTGTATTTTATTTAAAAAATTAAAAGAAACTAAATAAGTTTGAATAAATAATACTTGGCGACATAATTCCGGAAAAAGCGGAACCACTCTTTAATTATCAAAAGCTTTGGAGAGCGACCGTTGTAAGAATAGCGCCAATAAGTATTTACATTGCCCTTATGGGCACTTTCCAATCTAAACTTGTTTCTGTGGTTTAATAATACAGAGTAGTCCGAACTGTATTCCGGAAACTTCGGCAGCATATTCTGCAGATAAAATAAGTAAAAAAGTTCGTATAATGTAAGTCCTAAAATGCTTAGTTTCGGAGATACAGGGTGTAGAAGTTTCATTTTTATTAGGTACGATTTTTTCCAAATAATTTCTGAAGTAACGTCAATATTTGGATGAAAATAGGTGTCTAGGAGTTTTTTGATATGAGAAATTTTATTTTGATGTCAATATGACTCTTATTTGTAGGGGGCGCCACCTACATGTGTTTTAACTGTTTTAAAGAGTAATAACTTTTCGTCCGTACCTGTATACAACTACTAAGTGAAAAAATATACATTTCCGTGACTTTCTACGTAAAAAATGTCTCTTGGTAAAAATCGCTACGGGCAACCGTTCTGAAGATATTTAGAACGGAAATAGTCAATTGATGTAATTATTGACAAAAAATAAACACGTTGAGTAGATAGTTACTTGACTGAAATAAAATAAATTTGGGAAATTTGTATTTTTTTATATTCTGCGAAAAAATGATGATAAAACAGTTTTTATTGAACTTTTGGCACAAAAGCATTTAAAATTTATGATTTCAGTCTAATAACTATTTAATCAACATGTTTAACTTATGTCAATAATGACAGGTATTGATAAATTTCGATTTCAAATATCTCGAGAACCATTACGCGTAGCGATTTTTACCAAGAGGCCTTTTTTAGGCAAAAGACGTTGTAAATGCATATTTTTTTTACTCGGTAGTTTTATACAGGTACCGACGAAAAGTTATTATTCTTCAAACCAGTTAAAAATATGTAGGTGGCGCCCTCTACAAGTAGGACTCGTATTGACATCAAGATCAAATTTCTCATGTCAAAAAACTCCCAGACACAAATTTTCATCCAAATATTGACGTTACTTCATAAATTATTTGGAAAAAATGAAAATAAAAATGAAACTTCTACACCCTGTATCTCCGAAACTAAGCATTTTAGGACATATGTATATACGAACTTTTTTACTTATTTTTATCTGCAGAATATGCTGCCGAAGTTTCCGGAATACAGTTCGGACCACCCTGTATATTTTCGTACTTTTATGCTTAGGCGTAAAAGTAGCTTACTTTTATGCGGTTTTGTGTTTATGCCTAGGTGTTAAAATTACTTTTTATAGTGTCAATCACGTCGCAAAAATTAATACTATTGTGACGTTTGAAAAAAAAAAGATTTCGACAAACAACATGTAAAAAATAACAGAAAATACAATTTAACTGCCAATTTAAATGACAGACAACTGACAACTGTCTAATAGCGACATTTGCTGTCCTCCTTTCACGCAGTTGAGCAGCTCTGAACTGTTCAAGAACGCGATACTCTCACTCCATTCAATTGAGTCAAAGTTCCAGAACTGTTCCGCGCCATATGGCGGCACAAGGCTATCGCGCACAGTTCCTTTCAGAACCGTTCTCGAGTAGCCCCAGGGCGTAAAGCCCGGAACTCGAAGTTCGCGAATGGAGGACAGCAATTGATGATTGTTGGCGTATAAAATCGTGTAATAAACTTACCTAGCCTGACGATAGATGTCATATAAGGTAGAAACTGACCGATATGGCCGGTCTGTTTCACGAAAGCGCAATCAACGCAGTTCGTTTCTCCGTTAAGAGCTTTCAATTGACAGTTAACGAACCTGGAAATTGCCAGCGCCGCGGCTAAACACGAGGTGCCTCTGTTATGATAAGCTTTCAAAACTTCGTCTTCGGATATGGCTATAGAATCTTGAATAATTTTGTGATGTTGCTAAAAGTTATTTTTTAAAAAATATGTCTTTATAAATGTTTTAGATTTTTTCTAAAATGTGTTTCTAAATGTTTAAATTTCTTCAAAAATCTAGTTTGAGGTGTAAATCATACAGAACAAATATGAATAAAAAGTATGATTGATTTTAAGATTGTTTTTAGCATTGCTAAAAACGAAAATTAAGGGTGAATTATTAGTACTAGCGTTGATTGAAACAATTGGGAAGATAAGCAACCTAATGGGCGAATTTGTGATAACGCTGATTTGATTTACCCTTGCGTCTCAAGTGCTGTACGGTGGAGACACCAATCGTTCTGCGGTCAACGCATAAAACACTTATTTTCTCTAATTCGGCCAGCGAAGACATATCGAAGACGGTGTGGATCTGAAAGCGACAGTGTTGCCATATAAAAATTTGTAATATCTGCAATACGTTTGACGAAAATATCTATCATTTATGTATTGAAAACTTATTCGTATTAAACATAGAATAAACAACAAAAATAAAAATTCATTTTTACGTACTGAATATTTCGTACGACCGAAAAAAGTCGTTTAGTTGGCTTGGAAATGACGATTATTGACACTTGCCATAATATTTTACATATGAAATAACACCGATCTTCATTTCCAAGCCAACTCTGACGCCGTTCTTTGTTTAATCTTATATTATATTAAATTGTTTAAGGATAGAAAATTCGTATTATCACAGATTAGGTATACTATATGTATACAGATAAAAATCTTATCCCTAATTCGTGGTACGAAAATTGTTTTTTATGACGATGTGCAAACGAGTAAAATTTCCTGTGCGCAAAAATAAACTCTCGTAAAATAACAATAAACAGCATAATAGAGAGATATCGCTAAACCGAATAGCGTGCATGGACGTTAATTAGGGTGTTAATTCCTTTAAGTGAGGTGGTATTAACTCTCTTCATTTATACTTATCGAATCGGAAAGAATTCTGTTCTCGTCGCGTCCGCTATTTAAACTTAACCTAACTTTGAATTTAAAACTTTGAAATTGTTTTGTTTACTAGGTATTTTAAAACTAAAGGGCTAAAGTGCTTATTTCCAGTGCTTCATTGTTCAACGTCTGACAGTGGGTTTAGGGCAATAAGCAACAAATTCTCTTAGAAGGGCTAAGTCGTCATCTGCTGTAAACCTAAGCCTCTTTATAGGTTCTTTAATATTGGAATTGGAATCCATATTTTGGGCCATATTTATTTAATTAAAACTAATCACAGCTACTTAAATATCAAATTACCTAATAAAACTAAAGTAATAATTCAAAACAATTCAAACATAACCTAAAATAAAAGATCTCGCCGGCCGGCCCCGGTTGTCAAATACTCGCACATGCCCATTTAAGCAATTTTTAAACCTTATTTAGAAATAGCGCTTGGTGTAATTGATCCGCAAATTACGTCAGGCGGTAACGTTATTAGCGGATGTTGCGTTAAAAATTGACTCGCGCATATCGTAACCATGATAAGGTACGCGTAAATACTGCATGACGCTATTCGGTTTTCCGATATCTCTCTAATAACTGTGCCGGTCAGGCGCTGTGCACAATTTTAGAGGCCATAAGTGGGCGTGCTATATGCGCAAACTAGTAACCTAACTAGTGCCCGATTCCGAAAATTGGAACCACGAAAAACTATAAAGAAAAAACAAAGTTTATAATCTGTGGTATTATTAACGTACTGTACACAAAATCCGTAAATCGACGGATTAATCAGTAGTTCTGGCAACACTGTCTCCGGGAACTATTCACTCTGTCGGCTGAAAGCAGAACTACGGTACAGTATTTTTTATCCGCTGCGTTGTAAACGACTACCAGCGCGAAGCTGCGCAGAGCTAAACTAAATCTCGACAGGCTAATGGTAACGCCAGCTACATCTCGGACAGATTTTGTGCCACAAAATCGCCTATAAGGTTGCGCATCTTCTTATTTCTTCAATCAACGGTATTAGTATTATTATTATTTTTAAAAATAATTTCTAGAAGTAAGAAACTTGATCAAAGATGTCTAAACTACGGAGCGATTGTTTAAAATTCAACTCCTAAAATTAGGGGTTAAGGTTTGTATCAAAATTAGTTGTTTTAAAAAGAATCCATCACCGGTTCTCCATAAACGTCTAACGTGTATAAATAAATAATCTCGTTTATATATAAATAATCTTTTTTTTTTCTTTTTATTCTTGGCTTTAGGTCGTTGGGGTTGCAAAGATGTTACTGAATTTTGTTCATTATCTTATTTTTATGACGACGTTTGGACAGTATATGTCTTTTTCAAGTCTCTTGAATGTAGATTCCTACAGAATTAAAATTGTTAAAAACTGGACAAAAGCAGAATAACACATATTAAAATTATTATTTTAATTGTTTAGGGAAGTAGACATCGGCTATTGAAACGATGAATATATTTTATACAAAACGGTCTACGAGAAAATATGTACGTGCTCTATACTAAAGTGTGATGTCCCTAAACAATTAAAATAATAGTTTTAAAAGACATATACGGTCGAAACGTCGCGTCGTCATAAAAATAAAATATTGAACAAAATTCAGTAACATCTTTGCATCCCCAACGACCTAAAGCCAAGAATAAAAAGAAAAACATATATATAGTATACCAGGTCAAAGAAACGAAACAAAAAAAAATATAAATAATCTTTTACCGGATGAACTTGTTCTGGCTTGGTCTGCGAAATACAGGCAACCACGCAGCCTTTCGAAGCTCCGCCTACCACTGGACACCTTACTTGGGATGAATCTTGTCCGCTGATCAAACCAATGAAAGAGTTGGAGCGCATGCACGCCACTGATGATATTCCTATGATTTTTCTGTAATCGTGCACACCCGCTTTTTTGTATTCCTAAAATATGTTATAGTATTGTTAATAGAAAAAGTATGGTATTATACTGTTTTTTTCACAGGTAAGATTTCGACAGACGATGACAGAAAAAAAGCAGATGACGTCCATACCAATCCATTTATTTAACTAAAAAAAATTACTAATATTTTTTAAGTTAACTATGGATGGGTTTATATACAGGGTGTTTCAAAACAAGTGCGAAAAACTTCAGGGGGTGATTCCTTGTTCAAAATAAAGGGTAGTTTGCTTCATAAACGTTGGGTCAAAAGTTAACCATTAGGGAGATATCGCGGTACAAAGATGGCGGAAAAATAATGTTTTTATTTTTTATCTTGAAAACGAAAAGAGATAGACTAATAAAATTTTATGGAAGCATTACTGTTATGAAAACACACTTTCTGGTAATTTTTTCACTTTTTTAAAATCAGTGGAAGGGGTTGAAATAAACTACCCCTATCATTCTTGTTAACGAAATTTAAAGAAAAATCTTATCAAACACATGCAAAAAAATTAATTTGGATAGTTTAGTTTGTTTAGAAATTTTTTTATCTCTTGTATTTTTTTTTGATTAAACTCAAAATCAATTTTCAATTTCAAATTTCAAAAAATTTGAAATTAAAAAATAAAATGTAAAGCATTGCATGCCAGGACAAAAACATTTTCTGATAAAGAATCTAGTGGGCTGCTGTAATTTTTTTAGGAAAACATCTAGTCGGCCGCTGTTACTTTTTAGGATGTTCCTAATATTATTTTATTTGACCATTACTCTACTGCAATACGTTATTATCTAGATTATTATTATTATCGTTATTATCACTAGATTCTTAATCTAAAAATGTTTTTTGTCCTGACATGTAATGCTTTACATTTTATTTTTTAATTTCAAATCGGTGAGTTTTATCAAAGAAACACAAGAGATGAAAAAGTTTCTAAACAAACTAAACTATCCAAATTAAAGCATTTGCATGTGTTAGATAAGATTTTTCTTTAAATTTCGTTAACAAGAATGATAGGGGTAGTTTATTTCAACCCCTTCCACTCATTTTAAAAAAGTGAAAAAATTACCAGAAAGTGTGTTTTCATAACAGTAATGCTTCCATAAAATTTCAATAGTCTATCTCTTTTCGTTTTGAAGATAAAAAATAAAAACATTATTTTTCCGCCATCTTTGTACCGCGATATCTCCCTAATGGTTGACTTTTGACCCAACGTTTATAAAGCAAACTACCCTTTATTTAGAACAAGGAATCACCTCCTAAAGTTTTTCGCATTTGTTTTGAAACACCCTGTATAAATCCGTCATGTGTCATCTCTTGTTGTTTTTAACCAGTTTTATTGGTTTATTTCAAAAATGACAGATCATATTTCAATACTATTGGTTTAACAGAACGATGAACGACAAACGAACGCCGATGCGTATGAACTCGACTTAAGATTTTTGAGAGTTATCAAACTCTTGCCAAATTATAGGTTATAATTTTGTGTCAAATTATGTCAAATAGAAAATAGAAATGATAAATATTTTGCATTTTGGACTGTGTTATTAGAGAGTTGTATTAGTCACAAATAAAGTTTGTATACTATCTAGTATATGATACCAAAAACTGGAGTATCTGTAAAATAGCAGCACACGATAGGTAAATATTAATCATATTGAATAATTATATTGATAAATGTAACAATAAATGCAGGAAGTTGCTTGAGCTTGAAACACGGCTTGAAAGCAGGAAATCTTTTTTATATCTTTTTTTGGTATGTGATGTTTTTTAAAATACACCCTTGCTTGTTTTGTATTAACACATACTGTAATTGTTTTTCAATTTTATACAGTTTTTTTTCACAATATTTTGAAGTAATCACTTGTCACTCAAATTTTAAATATATTCATTTTCTGCTATGCGTTCCAATTCTACCAACTTATTTCTTTGTAAAATAAAATAAACTACTTTGAAAATAAAATGACAGACACATCTATCACTGTCAAGGATTTTGTCATTGGACAGACTATATATAGTTTTTAAGACGATTCTTTTCTCCATAATATGGCAAAACTAGGGATGAAAACATCGCAAAAAAAACTTTCGATACATCGATATTTTTCATGGTATAAAATAAAAATTAACTTCTAATAAAAAATTAACAAGTTAAGGACATTTTCATCAGGGTGAGACTAACGATTTGATATTAAACAAAAATTTGGGTCGATTTCGGCATAATTGGGAATGGACTACAGGATGACGCCCTCAACGTTTTGAACCGATGCATCTATATGGACGAAATCATCAGGATTTTTCTTAATTATGGGTCGACTGGAACCAAATTCGGCACGTGGATAGAGGTACCCAATTAGAGTCCTCAGATGGTCAGGCGGTCATTTAATACAAATTTTGTAAAACTAAATCAAATTATTTATTAATTTTTAATTTATTGCTTTATCCACATTTCAAAATACACTTTACCAAACATGTCCTTCGAATCCTTCAATTTAATAGCTGTTAGTAAGAAGTTTTACTTCAAATATGCGCACATAGTGCACACACAATTTTTTGAGACCCTTCAAAGCATCAATGTAAGTCGCTATAAAATACTGATGTCACTGTAAATGTCCGAAATGCGGTAAAACCTAGGATAAGCGCCCTAAACCTAGGATTTACCAAAAGCAAGTGGTAAAAGCTCGAAACTTCTTTATTTTGGTTCCATTTTGGACTTTTACCGGACCCAAACAGTAAATCTTAGGATACCACACCGCATTGGTAAAAGTACGAATTATTTTTCTTATAGCAACAATATCGACAAATTAAGGATGTCGATATACATTAAAATATGTCGATGTTTTTGTTTACTTAGGCATTGAAATTTTAACGATTATCGTTTCACGATATCGATTTTTGTAACGTATCAGTTTTATATTTGTTACTGAAAATGTCCGCAATACGGTAAAACCTAGGATAAGCGCGCTAAACCTAGGATTTACCAAAAACATTAACTAATTAGGTTAGCCTGGTTATTTGGAGGGTGTTAATGCATTGGTTAGCCTGGTTATTTGGGGGGTGTTAATGCATTGGTTAGGTGGTTATTTGGTGGGGTTGGTTGGTTTTGACTACCACTTGCTTATTCGTACTTTTACCAATGCGGTGTGTTAAATCCTAAGATTTACTGTTTGGGTCCGGTAAAAGTCCGAAATGGAAGCAAAATAAATAGTTTTCGGGCTTTTACCACATTTTTAGTAAATCCTAGGTTTAGCGCGCTTATCCTAGGTTTTACCGCATTTCGGACATTTACAGTAACATTGACACATCGATAATTGCGATAAAACATCATCGATATTTTGCTATTGAATTTGCGTTTCCTCAAGACATGATAAAACAAAATAAATATGTCCTACCTCTGTTACTAAAGGCACGAAAGCTTCTATGGGTGGTTTGGCGATGCAAAAGATTGCCTTCGGGCTGAATTCTATACAATGCCAGGCCGCCGTTCTAACAGCGTCTACATTTTTCTCAAACAAATCTTTACAAGTCTCACTGATTTTGCTTCTACAACCTCCCAAGCACACCACAATATCGGCATCCTTAAATATAACTCTTATTAATATTATTTTCAATTTCTGCATGGCCCCCTACACATAGTTATGAAAATAGCTATGTATATTGATGACGACTCAATGAGTAACTACTTATTTAAAACTTTCGCAAAATAATGATATCAAAATTTTTAAAAGGTTGTTATTAAACTTTTGGATCAAGGCAAATTAATAAAATTGCGTTTATTTCGTGAAGGAGGCCAAAATCAACAAAATATCAAGAGACCACTTTTAATCGGCATTAAACTGATTACACTATTTCGCTAACAAAAGGAAAAAGTCAGTGGCGTACATGCTTTTATAGAAAAATATTCCAGTGATAACCTATGTATATGCACGTCCTTGGTGAATATGTCGACACTTTTTAGCTTTAAAATATGTCGAATTTATAGTAACTTTTACCCTCAAAATTTCATTTGAAACGCAAAAAGTACTTGAAAGAAAATTATAATAAATCGAAAAAATATTAAGACTAACACCCTGTAGCTAGGAAACAAAGCAGAACTGGACCTATGTTGATATGAAAAATAAGTCTTGTTTTTACGTGAGCAATCTCCCCACGAGAGATGGCACATGTTTTTTGAAACACCCTGTATAATATGCATACGTGTAATAAACCGATCATTTATGAAATTCATTTAAAACTAACTAATTATATATTTTTTCTTGCATTCTCGCTTTTATTTACCACTTTGTCAAAGATTAGATTGCAAAATAGATTAGGTTTAACAAATTTATAGAAGAATATACTTACTGCTACGGCGTTTTTTAAAACTGACTGACCACAAAAAGACTTGACTTTGGTTCTAGTGTCGATATGACTCAAATCTTCGGCCACGAAACATATAGTACTATCAATATCGTGCAGCCTTAATTCCGAAATTAGGGGACTCTGTTTCAGAATAAGAGCAGTATGTCTTCCTACCTTATGGCAGCCATCTAAAAGATTTTTGTAACTTGTATTATTTTTAAAATTTTAACAAGTACCTACCTAAAACAGTAACTGTAAAACCGTTCTTAGGACTCGTACAGCAGCGCCGAACGCTCACTATATGCAATAATTTTGAATTCGCTTTTAATTTAATCAAAAAGTTTCGAGACATTTTTACTGAGAATTTTGACGGAATTTAAATTTTGACAATGTCAATTTAGGGGACTTTTATTATTAGTGGATTTTTTTTAAAAATCGTAATTATACCTTAATTATACCCATTTATTAATCCCCGAGACAGTGGCGGCTGGTACGCATAAGTGCTGCAGTGGTGTGCGACAGCAAAAAAACACGAATAAATTATTTAATAATTATTATAAAATAATTTTATTATACAGGGTGGTACGAACTGTATTCCGGAAACTTGGCCAGCATATTCTGGAGATAAAAATAATTAAAAAAATCGTATAAATGTATGTTCTAAAATACTTAGTTTCGGAGATATAGGGTCCAGAAATTTCATATTTTTTCCAAATAATTTCTGAACTAAGGTCGATATTTTGATGAAAATTGGTGCATGGGAGACTCCTACTTAGGGCGCCACTTACATATTTTTCACTGGTCTGAAGAGTAATAACCATAGGTAATAACTTTTCGTAGTAAAAAAATATACATGCACGTTTTTTTTTCGTAAAAAAGATCTCTTGGTAGAAACCGCTACGAGTAATGGTTCTCCAGATATTTGGAATCAGAATTATCAATACCTGTCATCATTGACATAAATTAAACATGTTGACTAAATAGTTATTAGACTGAAATCATAAATTTGAAATGTTTCTTGAAAAAACTTCAACAGAAACTGTGTTATCATCATTTTTTCGAAGAAAAATATATGATTAATTTAAAAAAATAAAAAGTTCTCAAATAATTATCTACTCAACATATGTTTATTTTTTCTCAATAATGATATGTATTGACTATTTCCATTCTAAATATTTTGAGAACGATTGCTCGTAGCGATTTTTACCAACAGACATTTTTTACGTAAAAAATCACAAAAATATTTTTTTTTTCACTCAGTAATTTTATACAGGTACGGACGAAAAGTTATTACTCTTCAAAACAGTTAAAACACATGTAGGTGGCGCAACCTACAAAAAGGAGTCATATTGACATCAAAATCAAATTATTGGCAATAAATAATAAGAGACCATTGCTTTTAAAAAATGTCCGTGGACCATATTTTTATTGACATTGGGTCAATCAATCATTTCCCAATTAGCTCGATATATTGATGATGTTGCCAGTATTGCTCATCAAGCAATACTACCGTTATATTAATCAATAGAGGCAATCATAACATAGAATTTTATATACTAATTCTTTATAATAAAATTAAATAATAAAAATGATATTGTAATTATATTCCTGCAGATTAAGTGACAAGTTCGTTCTTAAAATAGTGTGGAAACGTTGTGTAAAATAAGTGAAAAGTTGTTCTTAAATATCTACTATACAGTATTATTAAACGCGTGTTCAAATATTAATCTTGTAGAATATATATCAACATAAAACGAGATGTAATTAATGAAATATCATCGTAACAACAGATATTTTAGAAACGGCATCCAGTTGGCTTGGAAATGACGATCGATGACATTTCCTATACAGGGTGGCCCATCGAAAACGTTCCGCAACGGCCAGGGTAATTTTTTTTTCAGAAAATCCAAAAACGCGTCAATTTTGTTTGTGAGGGGGACAACTTTTGCCCTAAAAATGATTGCAAAATCTTCAACCCTTTAAGCGGAGGTGTCATCCCCCAACTTTTTTCAAATGGTAAGAGGGTTCAAGTGGCGCCGCAATGAAAAGAGCTTTCTATTCTCTATATTTCACCGCTTCATTTTTGAAAATCGGGCGAGTCATTGAGAAAATATGAAAGATTGAAATTTGAAAAGTTTATTTAAACATTTATCAGAGTAAATGATAAGGATAAATTCCTTGGATCAATTTGCTGTTTTTTCTTATTATTTCTAGATGTTTACGCATTTTTTCACTTGCCACAAGGTTGAACGATCAGGTGAGATCTCAATATCGTTAAACTGACCTACAATTGAATTTCCAAAAATACCAGCCCGCGACGATCAAAATCGTCTTCATTGTGTTCTTGTACCAACTGAATTTTGTACGGGTGGAACTTGTGTTTTTTAATATCCTTTGGACACTTGTACGATTCACCCCGGACTCATTGGCTAATTTTCTTATACTCAGCATACTATCCATGGCAACTTGGCCCAATACGAATACCTCCATAGCTTCATTTACTATAGGATTTTCCCTCTGCCTCTTTTTATTCATAACGGAACCAGTTTTGTGAAATTTTGCTAATAACTCGCGACCAATTTTGCCATAAAGGTGTTTGTCAGGATGGCCTTCATTGAATATCTGCGCAAACCAATTGCCACATTCATTATTTTTAAAATAAAGTTCGATTATTTTCACTTTGTCTGCAAGTGAGTACACCATAATTGTTAAAAAGTTTAACAACTATGGTATATTGAGAAGAACTTCAACGCACAAGTCACAGAACAACTATCCAGCAACTACCGCACCTGATCGTTCAACCTTGTGGCAAGTGAAAAAATGCGTAAACATCTAGAAATAATAAGAAAAAACAGCAAATTGGTCGAAGGAGTTTATCCTTATCATTTACTCTGATAAATGTTTAAATAAACTTTTCAAATTTCAATCCTTCATATTTTCTCAATGACTCGACCGATTTTCAAAAACGAAGCGGGGAAATATAGAGATTAGAGAGCTCTTTTCATTGCGGCGCCACTTGACCCCCCTTCCCCTTTGAAAAAAGTTGGGGGATGACACCCCCGATTAGAGGGTGGAAGATTTTGCAATAATTTTTGGGGCAAAAGTTGTCCCCCTCACAAACCAAATTGACGTGTTTTTGGATTTTCTGAAAAAAAATTACTCTGGCCGTTATGCCTTGCGGAACGTTTTCGTTGGGCCACCCTGTATAAATTTATATAATAAACATGACAGCAATTTTTTTTTCGATTATATTAGTATGATTAATATTAGGTATGTAAAGAAAATAAAATTAACACCTAGGAAGAAAAATTATAATAATATACGAATCTACATTAATAAAAATAAAACTTAGATCTAAATAGAAAAAAGAAGTACCTAAACAATAAAATAGAGGATTCCATGCCAAGAAAATGGTGTTTACAAAATTGCAATACATATTTAAATGACATATAATTTTCATAATTTCCTTTACAATATACAAAAGATTAAATATAAATTTTAAAATATAAATACTCAGTTATCAAATATGAAAAATATGTGAGATTTGGTTTTAAAGCTTAACGCACGTTACGTCTATATGTATATAAAAGAAAAACATTGAGGTTGAAATTTAACTCAATATAGTTAACAATAAAAAGAAATAATTACACGCCAGTCTCAAAATACTTTGTTTAAAAGTAAAATTAACTAAAAATGGATTAGAGAATAATAAATAATCTTATGCACCACACATTTGGCAGTCTTCTGGGTTATTTAAGGAACAAGTTATTGCAGCTAAGTCATCTTCTTCACTTGATTCCTTAACCCCATTTGTCGTTTTAGAATCCCCATTTTGCCCTACCTGCTCTGCTTCGGCAGTTTTTGGACTGTCACTTGCGACCAATAGTTTTGATTTATCTACAGTAAACTGAATGGGATTGGCCGCAGGTTTTGTTCGGAGGTAGTACATTCCTGTCTTCAAACCTTTCTTCCAACCGTAGAAATGCATTGAGGTTAGGACTCCGTAACTAGGTTTGGCGATGTGGATATTCAGGCTTTGGCTCTGATCGATATAAGCGCCCCTATCGGCGGCCATATTAAGTATAACCTTCTGCGAAATCTCCCAAACTGTCTTGTAAATGGCTTTGAGATCGTCGGGGATTCCCGGGATGTTTTGTATCGAACCGCGATTGGCTATTATCTGGTTCTTCATGACGTCATTCCATAGCCCTCTGTTGGTTAAATCTTTCAGTAAATGGTGGTTAACAATTTGGAACTCTCCTGAAAGTACTCTTCTCGTGTAAATGTTGCTTGTGTAAGGTTCAACGCTTTCGTTGTTTCCTAATATTTGAGCTGTAGATGCAGTGGGCATGGGTGCCAATAATAATGAATTTCGTACTCCGTGTTTGGCAATTTTAACTTTTAGTGCTGACCAGTCCCATAGTGTAGTCGGTTGGGCATCCCACATGTCATACTGTAATATGCCTTGGCTTACAGGTGATCCTGAAATAACAAAATCATAAAAAATTATAAACTATAAATTCATGCAAATTGTACCTGCATAAGTTGAATAAGTGCCTAATTCTTGGGCCAGTTCACAACTGGCTTCTAAGGCACCATAATATAATGTCTCGAATATTTGCTTATTCAGAAGTGCAGCTTCTTCACTATCGAATGGCATTTTCATCAAAATAAATGCATCAGCCAGACCTACATACACAAATAAAAAAAAATAAGAATAAACTCGAAAAATAAATAAAAAATAAGAATATTTTTTTTTTCTAAGATGTCAATTGTCAAAAGAAAAAAGATTTTTACAAGTATAGCCCACCTTGGACACCAATTCCTATTGGTCTATGCCTCATATTCGAATTTTTCGCTTCTTGAACGGGATAATAATTGACATCAATAATTTTATCTAAATTCTTAGTTACAACCTAGAAAAGAAAATTAATTTAAAATAGTAATATCGATTTTATAAATTTTGCAAAACTGTGAAAGTATCTTATCAGTAGTCAAAAATCAACAAATGTGGAGAATTAATAAATAAATAAATAATTTTAAAACAATTAGCACGTAGGTTTGGAAAAATCAAGAAAAAATAGAAATTAGTTATATCTTTAAATTTTATTGTGAATTCTGAATTATAACACTTTTATTAATTATTTAATTCTGAATTATAACATTATATTTTTTAAATCCCCACACAGTATTAAATAAAGTAAAAAATACATACCGATCTGGTCATCGAAACTCCGTGGCCTGGATTTTAACGTGTAAGACAGTGATATAGACAGCTTAATGGAAAATCAAATATATTAAAAAGAGATAAAAGTTGGGTTAAAACATTTCTTCTATGCGGTATTGCCAAATTTTGTATCAAAATTTCAAACAGCACAAGTAGACGTTTATGAAAAATGTTGCATCTAGGGTTGGAACTTTATTTTTCACAATTAGTTACTCATTTTACTACAGCTGTAATAAACTCACCGGCAAAAAAACCTTGCCACTAAAAACTAGTCCCAATTTCGAAGTTGGATTTCTCGCGAACCCCTCACTAGATTTTGATGATTTTTTTTTAATTGTAAATTAATTTTTTCTTAATTTTTATGCTACGTCAGAAATTTTTTGCCCGAAGTTTGTAATACCCTGTAGGGTGCAGCAGTTGTAGTAGCTATTGCTAAATCAAATCACATTGTAGCCTCATCTTTTGTGAGCATTTTGTTTTTTTAATCACGACATTATCTCTCTTTTTATTGGAGATACGCTGCTTTAAAACGAACGTCTCGGAAAAATGCTTCGCAGGCAGAAAGTTATGCTCAAGGCGATATAGGCGAAAACGGATTTATGAGTATTTGCAATATGACAACAACGGTTGTCAAATTAAAAAATGCCATTATCTGTGACGGATGTTGCTCGTATTGTGGCTCATAGATAAATGAAACAAGTTTAGATTGGAAAGCCCGTAAAAATTTTGGGTCGCGACCGTTATAAGCGATCTGGCGCTGCTATAGCGGTTGCTAAGAACAACCGCCAAACAATAACAGAAATAATTTTCTCTTGTCAAAGTCAGAATCTTTAAAAATTATAAAATCTTTCAAAATCGAAACCACTCTCATTGAAGAAATTCCGAAAGGTGTTTATAGCGTCTATTTTCAAAGTAATTATTGCTATCTTGTGAGTTTAATTCAAGTCTTATTTACTCCAACCCGTGATAATTGTGAAAAAATGGCATTAAAAACTTAAAAAGCTGTGCTGTGAACTGTGAACTGCAAAACCCATCGTGGATCGTGGCATAACGTCGGTTTCCAATGTTTCATAGGTACCTATTTCATACATGTCCTTATATAAAATAAAGTTTCTTGTATGCAACACACTGTATTTTATTTATAAAATTAAAAGAAAATAATAATAAGTTTGAATAAACAATATTTGGCGATATAATTCCGGAAAAAGCCCAACCGCTCCGAAATTTTCAAAAGCTTTGGGTCGCGACCATTGCAAGAATAGCGCCAAATAGTAGCTTTTTTCGTTTTCCTGTTATTATTACCATTCTGAACCGTCCTAGAACTGTGATGCGTATGCGCAGAAGGAAATATGAAGACATTATTTCATTTGCGCATGCGCTGCAGAGTTCTAGGACGGTTCAGAATCGGTAATAACAGGAAAACAAAAAAACTAGTGTTTACATTGTCCTTTGGGCACTTTCCAATCGAAACTTGTTTCATTTATCTATGTTGTGGCTTTAATTGAGGATGGCTGAAGTCAACGTTGTGTCGGATACCCTGGGCATGCCTCGGACAACAGTTCAGGATGCCTGCAATAGGAAAATGGAAACGGGAAATTTCACCAGGCGAATGGGTTCCGGAAGAACACGGAAGACAAATGCAATTGACGACCGCTTTATTGTACTGAATACTTTAACGAAATCGTAGAATTACAGCGTTTCAGAATCAACATCTGCTACAAGCCGTGCGTAGAACTCAACTCGTGAGAGAACAATCCAACGAAGACTAAAAGAAAACAGCTTGTCTGCAAGGAGGCCTGCCACAGGAACCCAGCTACTTCCAAAACTTCGTCGAGCACGTCTTCAGTTTGTGCGTTTACATGTGTTTGGTCGCGGTTTTGTCTGAAAGCATTTTTCCGAGACGTTCGTTTTAAAGCAGCGTATCTCCAATACAAACAGAGATAATGTCGTGATTAAAAAAACAAATTGCTCACAAAAGATGAGGCTACAATGTGATTTGATTTAGCAATAGCTACTACAGCTTCTGCACGCTACAAGGTGTTACAAAGTTCGAGCAAAAAACTTCGTCTTATTGTTGTGCCTGTATAATATACTCAAAATAAATTCGGAATAAAAATTTCTGACGTAGCATCCGTTAAGAAGGAATTAATTTACAATTTTAAAAAAAATCATCGAAATCTAATGAGTGGTTCGCGAGAAATCCAACTCTGAAACGTTTTTTGCCGGTGAGTGTAGATTACATATATTTATAGTTTAGCTTAGATATATTGCCTTTCCAAAAAAATCCACTGCACTGGCGAAATACCCATAAAGGATTTTTTTTGGAAAAATGAATCCGCCACATAGGTATAGACATTTTTTATATTATCTTTGTTTCAGTAGTATACATAAAAGTTTTTAAAAAAGTTAATTTTTTCTACACAAATTTTCCTACAAACGTAAAAACCGGCAACGCTGTATGCCGCTTTTTATTTTATCTCTCTGCCAACCGGTCCTTTATATTTATCTCTATCTTCTGGCATGAAAATACAGACCACGCAGATATACTGACCAGACTTAGTACATTACCTTGGTTATTTCTTTCAACTTCTTAAAATCATAGTGCGTTCTATCCTTCGAAACAAACATATTTACAGCAATGGAGGCTAGATTGCATACAGCAATTTCGTCCGGAGATGTATATTCCACCACTTCAGTACATAAATTACTGCTTTTTATCGTTCCTAGGTTCTTCTGATTCGATTTCTTATTGCAGGCATCTTTGTACAACATATACGGCGTGCCGGTCTCAACTTGCGCGGCTATGATGGCCCGCCATACTTCTTGCGCACGTACTTGTCTAATAAGAGATTAGATTATATAGGGTGCAAGTTAGAAATGCAAAAAACTGTTTTTTAATTATTTTATCCACGACTCGTCTATAATTTGATTAATATACATGAGTTTATGAAATAATAATGATATTCAGTGAATAATGGTTTCATTATTCACCGCTTCCACGGATATCTCGATCCAAACTCCAAACAAGAGCTGTGCTCGATCCAAAGCGGCTTGGAAGCGATTGTACAGTACGTCTGTCCGTTCTGTAGCTACGGGGTATCCGTGAGAGGGAAAACGATATTCTCTCCATGTTTTTCGTAAAAAATTAGACGACGCGTCCCATCAATAAAAATTCGACAAATTTGCAAGTAGCCAATAAAATGAGTGGGCGGAGCGATTTGCGCTGACGTACTCGCCAAGTCGACGTATAAAATATATTGTTGTTTATTTAAATATTTTTTGTCCGCATTCCTTTCATAGACACAGATCCAGCAGACGTACTGTACGCATAAGATAATGAAAATTTCAATGTTTTGTTTCTATGTTACTCGTTATATTCGTTCTATATTTTTTTGACATTAAAAATAAAAACTTATATTAATATTATCTAAATTTTTTTGATAGTCCTGGATAAAGTATAGTATTCTACTCGCATATAATGGCTGTTATTCACTTTTTTTAAACACAAAAAAAAAGTTGGGGTGGACCACCCTTATCACTTAGGGGTATAAAAAATTAGTAACAATCTATTCTCAGACTTACTGAGTATACATATTAAATTATTTCGGAGGAGTATGGTAACTAAAACTATTTAAGAAAAACAACCTCTAATTAAAAATAGGGGTTAATGGTAGAAGGGTAAAAATTGTTGTATGGATTTTTAATGCCACTTCATAAAAAATAAAAATAAAAAATTTTGTCCAAAAAATAAAAACATTATAGTCTACAACCTATTCTCAGACCTACTGAATATACATAATACATACATATAAAATTTCATCAAAATCGGTCAAGCCGGTTTCGGAGGAGTATGGTAAGTAAAACTATTAAAGCAAAGTAACCATTGTTAAAAAATAGAGGTTGATGGTAGAAGGGTGAAAATTTCGGGTTGTATGTATGTTTAATGCCACATCATAAAAAAATAAAAATAAAAAATGTTGTCTAAAAAATAAAAAATATAAAAATTTGGGGTGAGCCACCAAAGAAAATTGCTACTTAAGGGCGTATGGAAAATAGGTAATAACCTATGTATATAATTATAAAAAACACCCCTATTAAGAAAAAGGTTGATGGTAGAAAGGTGAAAATTTAAGGTTGTCAACAGGTATGTATTTTTTAATGCCCCCATATCATAAAAAAATTAAAATAAAAAATTTTCTCCAAAAAATAAAAAGAAACAAATTTGGGGTGGGCCACTCTTATCACTCAAAGGTATAGAAAATAGATAACAACCTCTAACATATAAAATTTCATCAAAATCGGTCAAGCCGTTTCAGAGGAGTATGGTAACTAAAAGCTAAAACTTACCTTAAAAATTTATTTTGCCGTTCATATTCTTCATATAATTGTTCAAATTTCTCACCATAACAATCCGACAAACCAGGACTATTGTGAGGACACATTAAAGACCATATTCCATCGGATTCCACTCTTTTCATAAACAAATCTGGTATCCAAAGTGCATAAAATAATTCCCTTGCCCTTAATTCTTCTTTACCTAAAAAAATAATACAAACATTGTTACAATTGTCTAGAAAGCGAGGTTGTTATGTCTTAAACTTGTTTTTAAACACAAAATCCTAAAAAAACGCCTAATAATAATTTTGAATCACATGTACAGGGTGGGTCAAATTCGACGCTTTTAAATGGAAACACCCTTTTCTATAGCAGATAGACGAAAACTAATATCGGTGTCTGGAGCTCAATTTTCATCAAAAACATGATGGTGAAAACCGCACATCAATATCTGTTACCGTTTAGGAGTTACGGGGTGTTTTTCAAAAATGTGCATTTTAAAAGAAAACAGTTTTCTACAAACAAAATTTAAAAAGAATTTTATGCAGTGTTGCCATTGTGTAATTTATTTTGTAATACTTCCTGATAAAGCCTACCTTCAAATTTGCTACATCATTTAAACGTATTAAAATAGATATAAGTATTTAACTTGCCATGTTAGTTGGAGTTAAATCTTACGAGCTGAATTAAAATCACTTCCTGATGTTTGATTCTAACTGAATCCTGAATTTTGATTGTAATTCGACTATTATGACACCACTTCCTGACGTTCGATTGTGTTCATACCGTGTGATCGGGAAAACACGGCGTTAGCGATGGCTATGAAATGAAAATCGCTGTCATTTTATGTGTAAATTTATATGGGATCGTCTTTTCCCAGCCAACTGGACGCCGTTTTTTTCGGTATGAGACGGTATTTGATATATACTTGCGTATTTTTCATGACATTGCAATATTATGGTACCATGAAGCATATCCAAGTGATACCGTAATATAGTACCATATTACGATACATGGCGTTCGATTGGGCTTAAACTTGTTTTATTACGTATCTTCAGTGACATTGTAATATTATGGTACCATGAAGCATATAAAGAGGTACCTTCTATAGTACCATATTATGATACTAATTCCTGACGTTCATTTGGGCTCATATTTGATATATACTTGCATATTTTTAATGACATTGCAATATTATGGTACCATGAAGCATATCAAGAGGTAGCATAATAGTACCATATACGATACCATTTCCCGGCGTGCGATTGGACTTATACTTGATATAGTAAGTATCTTCGGTGACATTGTAATATGATGGGATTATGGTGCATATAAAGTGGTACCTTAATATAGTACCATATTACGGTACCACTTCCTGACGTTCGATTGGGCTCATATTTAATTATACTTGCGTATTTTTGATGACATTGCAATATTATGGTACCATGAAGCATATCAAGGGTACCATAATGTAGTACCATATTACGATACCACTTCCTGACGTTCGATTGGGCTCATATTTGATTATACTTGCGTATTTTTGATGACATTGCAATATTATGGAAGCATGAAGCATATCAAGGGGTACCATAATGTAGTACCATATTACGATACCATTTCCTGGCGTTCGATTGGGCCCAAATTTGATATACTTGCGTTTCTTTATAAAGATTTGTTTAATTAATAATTTTAATTTATTTTATGAATTTTAATTTATTGTACGATGTCGGTGACAGCAACTTTTATGCTTAAGTAATATATTATTAATTGTACCTGTGTCACTTTTTAAAATCTACCTAGGTCTATATAAATAACGTGGCAAACAGAAAAAAATTGTTATTATAGTATTTTTTAGTCAATTAACATTTTTTGTACTGCATTTTAATAAATCGTTTCCATTATTATTAAACGTATATTTCATTACTAACGTTTCAGCATTAATAAATATCACTATCAATCGCCCTGTATATTATTAATTTTAAAGGTAGTTAAAGTTATTTTCTTAGTTAACATAATAAAGTAGTGTAGATATATTAAAAATGTATTTTGAGAGCATATGTTTTCTAATAATATACTTAAAATTAAAACTATTTTAAAAGCCAAACGAATAATTAATATAAGTGTATCTGACAAGAAACGAAGAATAAAAGAAATTATTATACACCAGAAAAGAATGGGATGCCAATTAAAGTCTTTTTTGAATCTGGCAACTGTGCATAATTATACTTAAACCATTAAATTCTACGTAAAAAGGTGCTTTGGAAATGTTTTCATAAAAATACAAAATTTTCCATAGCAAAAAAGTTACAGCGATTTGTTAAAAATGCATATTTTTGAAAAACACCCCGTAACTCCGAAACAGTAACAGATATCGATATGCGGTTTTCACCATCATGTTTTTGACAAAAATTGAGCTGCAGACACCGATATTAGTTTTTGTCTATCTCCTATAGAAAAGGGTGTTTCCATTTAAAAGCGTCGAATTTGACCCACCCTGTACACTATGTAGTTTAAAACAGAGTTTATAAAAGAATAAAAGCTATTTTAAATCATAAAAATAGTCATTTTTATATCTAGTGCGCGAAGTGTTACTTTGGTGATCGATACTTGAATTTTTTAACGAGGCGTCAGATTTGAAAGATTAGTCAAAATCATCAAAGTAGTTCGCGCACGAGTTCAAACAACATTTTTTCTACAAACATTAAAATCGGGATATCCCTAAAAATTATTATTATTATATTATTGCTTCGAAAAAATAGCGTGTCGTCATCGATTTCCTTTTAGGTCGTTTTAATACTTGGTATTTCTGGTGCTTGCCGCCGTGAGGAACTTACTAAAATGACGGTCAATAACATAGAAGATAAAGATTCAATTTTGATTGTTAGAGTACCCGATACAAAAACAAACATAGACCGAGTCTTTACAGTGTCAAATTTGAATTATATTGAGATTTAGTAGCAGATTGTTTTTAAAATATCAAAATAAAAGATGTGTTAACCAAGTGGTTGGCATAAATTCTATTGGTAAGATGCCTAGCATGATAGCAAAACTCTTGAGGCTGCCGGATTATGAGGCCTACACTGGGCATTGTTTCCGGAGAACTTCAGCCACACTCCTTGCTAATACAGGGGGTGATATATTTAGTTTGAAGCGCCACGGAGGATGGAAATCTTCGACAGTGGCCGAAGGATACATCGAGGATTTTATCAACAATAAAATTCAAATATAAAATAAAATTTTAGAGTGTCAAATACTGGGATCAAGTACCTCTACATCAAAATTGGATAGTGTCTCAAGTCCTAAAACCTCCATATCTCAAGCAAAATCAGAACTCTCCAGTTTGGGATTAAATATTGGTTTGTGTACTGGTTGTACTATTAATGTTAATATTGTAAATAATAACTAGGATATGCATTAGTGTTAAGTTTGATATTTGTTATTTGTTTATTCTTGAATATTTCTATTTTTTTTTATTTATTTTTTAAATAAATAATTAGTTATGATTTAGTTCTTCATTTTCCAAAAATCAAAATTCCAAAATGCCATATAATTTACATGCAGTGTGCGAAATAGGCATTTCGCGCATTACTTCGCGCACCGTGTCATGGTAATGTAGGAAAATGAAAAAAAGTGTCACTTCGCACATTGCTATCAATTCGCGAACCTTGTAATTTTTTGACGTTTGTAGAAAAAGCATATTTTTTCATCCCTGTGAAAAAGATTCGTACTTACCAGTGTTTTTTCGCAGATTCAAAAAGTCGAATATATCGGCGTGCCAGGGTTCCAAATATATGGCGAATGCGCCAGGCCTCTTGTTACCACCCTGATCCACATACTGCGCAGTTGTATTGAACACCTTCAACATTGGAACTAAGCCTTTCGATGCACTATCACTTCCAACAATGTACGATCCTAAATAATAATATTTAGATAGACGTTTTTCTTATATTACGTTAAAGGGCCGTCTACACATAAGGCTTTACCTTGTTTTCACTGTTCAGTAAAAATCTATAAATTAATACCTCAGTTGGAAACGAAAAAAACGGTCAGTTTTTTTAAACTGAATTAAAAAAGTAAAACCCCGCATAGAGAACTGACGGGATATTACAACAAAACTTTCCATTTCATACTGAAAAAAATAATTAGTAAACTTCCTAAAAATTATGTGGATATACAGGGTCCGGAAAAAATGCGTCGCGTCGCGTCGGTCATCTGTAACTCCTAGAATAAAACACTTAGAAATTTTGTTTAAGCGCAAACCTAAAACATGCACTAGAATTTATTTCGGAAAAAAATTTCAACTTATACAGGGTGGCTCAAGAAAATGTGAGCATATCGCGATGATTTTTTAGAGTTCCGGGAAGGGTAAAAACGGGAACCCTATTATAAGACTTCGCTGTCCGTCCGTCCGTCCGTCTGTCACAAAGGTCTATCTTATGAACCGTTATAGCTAGACAGTTGAAATGTTCACAGATAATGTATCTATGTTGCCGCTATAAGAACAAATACTAAAAACAGAATTAAATAAATGTTTATAAATAAAAAAGTACTTTCACTAAACATTATCTTTTAAGTAAGAATTTTACATAGAATCTTTCAAGTCCTCGGTGGCCGCGTGGTTAAAGCGTTAGGACTTTACGCTGCTATGACGTTGGAGCCGTAGTAAGGCAAGTTCGAATCCTAGTCAAGGCGACTTTTTTTAATAGTTTTTTTTTTAATTTTAAATGTTTATTTTTACTTTTTCCATATTTATTATAGATTAATACAATTTTTAGTAATGTGTTTCTTCATTTTTTTTTGAATTACTTATACGCGCATTCAAAATTTCAGCTAAATCGGAAAAAAAAGTTTATAATAATATGTATAGTGTCTAATGTTGTATAGATAATGAATGGTACGGAACCCTTCATGCGCGAGTCCGACTCGCACTTGACCAATTTTTCCAAGATAAATCCAATCCAAGATATTGTTTATGCAAATATGTTTTGATAGTTACAGAAAAAATATTAAAAATACAGGAAATCAAAAAAATCCTGAAATCAAAACTATACTAGGTATTTACTATAGTTGTTCAAAATTCTATGCCAAACACTCTAAAATATGAAAGATTTTCTCGTTTTTTTTGTTTAAATAGGTCACCCTATATATTATTGCATTGTTAGATGGAGAATTAAAAAGTGAAGAATTTTTGTATTTAAAGTATTTCAACATTTTTAACGGCCTTTTTTTTAGCGGATATTCTAATATATTACATATGGGTTTTTCAACAGTAATTCTTTTATCAAAGCTACCTAATGATCCTTAATTCTCTATCTAACAAAGAAATAATATACTGGGTGTTATATATACCATTAAAAAACGAAAATTTGGCATAGAATTTTGAACACCTTGTATCTGTATGGTTTAAGATTATGATATATATAGCAAAGTAAGTAGAGACCAACTATTATTATTAAGGATAGTTTTGATTTCAGAACATTTCTTGTATTTTTAATTTTTTTTTTCAAAAATATTTTTTTTGTTTATTTATTAATATTTCTGAAACTATCAAAATATATTTAATAATATCTTAGAATTATGTAAAGCGATCAGAATGGAAGCTAAAAATGCATAATATACAATGTTCCATTTAAAAAAAATCATCCCAATCCACTCACCCTTTTTGAGCCATCCTGTAGAATTTAAAAAAAAAATTCCTGAAGTACATCTTAATGCATACTTTAGGGCTGCACTTATACAAAATTCCTAAGTTTTTTATTATAGGATCTACAGATGCCCAACGCACTATTGCCAGGCCCTGTATAATTTTACAAAATTATGATGTAAAAGTGATATCTAATAATTATTAACAAACAATAATATATTCATAATTAGCTTTGCATGTTTACAAACGAAATTTAAACTACAAATACATTTTTGTTGTAAAATGCCATGTTTTTTTTTCAACTTCACTAAACACAATGCTATGACTGATAAAACAGCAGGTACCATTTCTTGGATAGGGTAGTTTTTAATCCGTCTTACCTGACAGGTAAAACAATATGTGTAGATGTGACTTAAACTGTACCTTTCGCCCTAACATTGTGTACATTAACTCCAATTCCTCCTGCATTTTTTGAAATAAAGGCACACTGTTTTAGGCACTCGTAAATGCCATCAATACTATCCTCTGGCACCGTAAGCAAAAAACATGAAGAGAGTTGCGGTTTGGGGGAGGCGGCATTAAATAAAGTAGGGCTAGCATGAGTAAAATATTTCTTAGACATTAAATCATAAGTTTGGATGGCTGCATCGATATCTTCCCCGTGAATACCGATGGCAACTCTCATAAGCATGTGCTGAGGTCTCTCAACAATTTTCCCATTAATTTTCAATAGATAGGAGAGTTCTAATGTTTTGAATCCAAAATAACTGTACGAGAAATCTCTGTCATAAATGATATGAGAATTAAGTTTATCGGAATTTTTCATAATGATGTTGTAATGCTTTTCTGATATCTTCGGAGTGTGAATTTTATTGTCATTTACTACGTTGTATAAATCAGACATCACCTCTATAAAATGAAGTTAAAAAAGTGATTAGTTGAAATTAAAGAAGGTATTTTAAAAATAAACATTACCGCTAAAATGTTTTTTTGTTCTTTTATGTAAATTTGAAACTTCTATTCTTCCAGCTAGAACAGCGTAGTCTGGATGATCTATGGTCATAGTGGCTGCCGTTTCTGCTGCTAAAGTATCTAATTCAACGGTGGTAACTCCAGGATATAATCCACTAACGACTTTCAGAGTTATCGAAACCTGAAAATGCGGAGTAGTTAATAAACAAAAACAATGAAAGTTTTTATGAAAATATTACCGGATCTATGAAATTCATATTCAAGCCATAGCACATTTTTTTAATACGCGAAGTAATTTTATCTATATATATGTCTTCCTGTATACCATCTAAAAAGAATAAACCTGTCCATTACACAATGTGTACACACATAAAATAAATATAGGAGATATATGAACTTACTTCTCTTCATAACGTATAATTTTACTACTGGTTTGTTCACCATATTTTACAACTTCAGTTAATCTTCTGTAGGAAAATAAATAAAAGACAAAACTAAATAAAACGGAATAATATAAAAGGAAAACAACCTTCACAAACACAAGTGAGTGAATTCCCGCCAAAATATTGTACATCACAGAAGACAGAAGTCATGTAAATTAGACAAATCCATAGATAAAAGTATCAAATTAGAAAACTATAATCTATGGTATTGTCAAGAATGAACCTTTCCACGTACATTTTGATGTAAGTTAAAAAAATGAAGATGTTTGAGTTTTTTATAACATTTTCAAAAACTTCTTCTTCAATTTCGTTTACTACACAAAATTAAAAATATATTAAGAAAAGAGGATGTAAACTTTTACATTTTTATGGAACGTAAAAATCAATCGCGTAATAAACTAGTTTTTTACTCGCCCATCCCTGCGTAAAGTCAAAATTTAAGTGGCAGGGTTGCCACAAGCTACTAGAGATGAGCAAAACTGCGATTTTCCAATCGCAGTTGAAACTGCGATTGTGATTTATAAATCGCTGCGACTGTAACCTGCGATTGCGATTTTGATATTTTTAAATTGGTACGCTGTAATCTGGGAAGCTCAATCCCAAAATTTCTAATAAAAAACAGAATAAATAGCGGAACAATTTTTTTTAATAAAAACTTACAAAGAAACTGTTGGGTGTTTCGATGCCATGTGCCTTTTAAAATTTGTAGTGCGTGTTTTTATGATATTTTTGCTGCACACATATTGCACTTAAAATTTTCATCAATTACCTACCAAAAAAATCCACAAATAACTTAGTTTCCTTTTTTTAACATTTTTGATTAGAACAGACCGAATAAATTTAAAAGGGAAATTAAAAAATACATAAAATGTTCAAAATATTCGAATGTGCTTTTAGACAGTAGGTATACTAACGAAAAATTTATTATAAAAAAGGGTTGCCGCCAACCTTAATTCAGATAACTAGAAAAAACTGTTTATTTTATCTTGTTTTCTTTTAAAAACATTTTCTTTATATGTAACTCAAAAGAAGCCGACGCCAACGGCTTTGATACAACCGTCCAGTGCAAGTACAAACTTTCGAACTTTTAGATAAATAAAGGACAATATCACATTTTATTATATTTAAAATTTCTCTAAAATAAAAAACTGATTGTAAAGGATGTATTTAAATTAACATAGCAGCCGATCCACAACTGTTAGTATATTCAGAAAATTATATTATATTATGGATTGTTATAAAAATGTTTATAATAATATAATATATAACAAAATATAATAAATAAAAAGGATAATAAGGAAAATATATAATAATATAAGGAAAATAAAGGATAAAAATAGATATTTTTTTTATAATTTGAATCCAAAACTGGCCTTATGAATCATTTTACCTGAATCATTACCTGGGAGCAACTGTAACTATAATTAGTCATAACCAAAAACAAGAATTTTTTAACCTCAATCCATAATTATATAATAAATCTGAAACTATTATCAAAATTTAAAACTAATAAATTATATATATTATGCGGTATATAAACATATATAAGCCTATTTTCCAACGTTTCATAAAAATTACGGGGCCCTGATTGCGAATGTGATTTTGCGATCTAGTCTAGGCCGATGTGTTGGGAGCTGCGAACGAAAATCGCAATCGCCGCTCTTCGTTGGCGTGCCCACTCCCGATGCCGCGCGGTGCCAACGAAAATCGCAATCGCAATGCTGGCATGAGCTGCGATTTTCGTTCAGCTCCTCGTTCGCCTGTCCACTGCCATGTTGAAGACGCGCCGCCGCCGGCCGGGGCGTACGAGAATCGCAATATTGCGATTTTCGTTCGCAGCTCATCGTTCGGCTTCTCAGTGCCGTGTCGATGCAACACCGGTGCGAACGAAAATCGCAATGCTGTGATTTTCGTTCGCAGCTCTTCGTTCGCGTGCCCACTGCGATTGCAAATCGCAACTGGTGTAAAATTGGTTGCCTAAAAATCCAAAATCGGCAGATATATGTTTCAATCGCAAGTCGCAGTTTGCTATGGAAAGGAATCACAGGTTGCGATTGCGAATTTACAATCGCTGCGATTAAATCGCAGTTTGCGATTTTCTGCTCATCTCTACAAGCTACACAATTATGTATTTTGCTACACATTTGCTTCCATGACTGCACAGCTACACCACAATGGCCTGTGCTACACATTTTGAGAATATACATATTTATTATAAAAAATCATACCAGAACAGTAAAATCAGCTGAAAAAAGCTGTTTTTTTTTTGCTTTTAAGTTATCTAAGTTACATTAAAAGAGGCCGCAAGTGAACTTTAAATTTTGAACTGACAAATATCATTTGCGGTCATCCAGAGCGGTCATCTATTGGTCGAGTCAAAATCGGTAAATAGACAGGATTGCTTAATTAATTAAAAGGTAAATTCAGAGGCCAAATTTCAACTTGTGTCTAGCCCTAGCAGGCAACTGTTAAGCCCGACCAATCACGTTAGAGTTTTTGACAAACACGAATGAATTAACACACTCCACACCATACTCCACACTCCAAATAACCACGCTAACCAACCTGATTGGTCAAGCTTAATAGTTGACTGCTAGGACTAGACACTTCTAAATTTCACTGTAGTTCGGTCCACTCGTTGGCATACGTGAATAATATTCAATTCCTATTTCACTTTTCCTCCCATATCAGCAAGGACTGCAGTTTTTATGGACAAATTTGGCCGATTAAACAGTCCTGGGGTGCAACTTTGTTCATGTTTCAAAGCGATAGCAAAGTAATTTGTAGCTTGATGCACTATGTTCAGTAGCAACATCGATTCGTAGCGACTGATTTCTCGCTTTGTGGCGAGGCGACAGTCTAGACACGTGTGCAAGAGTGTGATAGTGATACCATATTTCGCAGCATCAGAGACAACTACGAGATGCCCAAGTCAATGTGTATAACTGGTTCTCTATTAGAGAACAACGGCATACGGTCGAGTCGGCCGCTGCTGGCACGTAGACGTAGACGTAAAGAATCTTTTACGTGTATAAAAAATAAAAAATATAAGAAATGCGCATGCGTACGTAAACGTTTACGTGTTTGTAGGCCGACTCGACCATATGCCGTTGTTCTCTAATAACTATATACAGCATCAGCAAAGTTTTGCCAATTGTGACTGTTTCACAGACATTTAAATTGAAGATGTATTATGTTCAATGTCACCTAACAATTGTGTTATAAATACATATGTATACATTTGATTTGATCTGTCTCCAAACGACCAATGAGATTTGTACAAAATTCAAACAGCTGTCAATTTTAAATTAGGTACAGGTCCCATTGGTTGTTCGAAATGTCAAACTGCGTCGCCCGCGACACGACGTCGTTCTGAGAACGGGGCTTTTTGTTGAAAAAAATTAAAATGACAGACACAACTGTCGTCAGAGATCCTCCTTTTGGGCAGACAATAGCCACAAGATTAATATAGAAAAAACGTATTCTTTATTGTATAAGTCACAAAAATTACACTTTATTATATAAAAATAATGAAAATATTATGAGATAAAAACTGTATTGTGACGTTTAAAATTGATTTTTTAAATAAAACAAAATTGTTTATATAAAATCAGGATCATAGAAAAATTGCTGTGTGATCCCACTTAAAAGTTAATAAGTACATAGTAAAACGGATTTAATTTAGTTTTAATTAACAGAGAACAGTAAAAAATCCTTATGCTCCGCACATATCACAATTTCCTGGATTGGTGAGTGAACACACTAAAGCAGCCATATCCTCCTCTTCAGATTTGCCATTAAGAGCTCCATTTTCACCACTACCATTCTGGTAACCGTTCTTCGTAGGTGATGTATGGTCTTTATTTTTACTATCACTTTGAACCAGCAATTTCGACTTATCCACAGTAAACTGAATAGGATTGGCCGCAGGTTTTGTCCTCAAATAGTACATGCCAGTTTTCAAACCTTTCTTCCATCCGTAGAAATGCATTGAGGTTAGGACTCCGTAATTCGGCCTTTCGATGTGGATATTCAGGCTTTGACTCTGATCGATAAAAGCGCCTCTATCGGCGGCCATGTTAAGTATGACTTTCTGCGAAATCTCCCATACTGTCTTGTAAATGGCCTTAATATCGTCGGGGATTCCCGGGATGTTTTGGATCGACCCGTGATTGGCCAGGAGCTGGTTTTTCATAATGTCATCCCACATGCCTCTATCTGTCAGTTCTTTAAGGAGATGATGATTTACTACCTAATTCGTAAAAAAAAAACGATCAGAATGTTTTATTTTCCATTTATATAAATCAAAGGAAAGACATATAGTTCACTCATTGGGGATTTTTGCTTGGAAAAAAGTCCAGAAGTTTTGCAACTTTGCAGGTTTATAGGTTTTGGGGTCTCTAACCTAACTAAAATCCATAAAATGCACATTTCCAGACTTGCCGCCGGCGCCGCCATCTTGCCAAGAAAATATACCAGATGTTCAATAATTTGTGCATACTGCAATGAGCCAAATCCTGTGACAACGTCACTGAAGTGTCACTCGACGAATCCGATGACGAGTTGGACTTGCGTGTAGATATCCCTCTGGCGACTGAAGATGAAGAGTTGGACGTATTGAGAGACCTCTCCTCAAATTTTCGCGAAAAACGCATAGTTTTCGAGATATTCACAAAATACCGATTTCGGGTGGGGCCCCGCGCCGGCGGCAAGTCTGGAAATGTGCATTTTATGGATTTTAGTTAGGGACCCCAAAACCTATAAACCTGCAAAGTTTCAAAGTTTTTTGGAAAAATGTTTAAATTTGAGTCGCCTAGTTTCAAAACACGACAAATCCACAGAAGTCAAATGTTGAGAAATTGGAAAAAACTGTTTTAGAGTTGTTAAAGAGTAAATATAAAGTCAATATTTTATTGCCAAGAAATGATAAAATTTGTCGCAGTTTGCAAAGTATATATGATGTTAGGTTGTAAAGAACTAGAAGACGAATCAATTAACATATATAACTCATTTTTCTCGAAAAATGGATTTGTCGGGTTTTGAAACTAGGCGACTCATTTGTTGTATAATTTAAGATACCGAGCAGCTCTTTATTTTACTTTATAGAGCAAATGATTGTAACAGATATTTTATTTAGATTAAAGCTGCAAAAATTAGTTTAAACCGAATTTTAGTATCGCTGTGTTGGTCACACTGCGCCGTGTTCAACAATGTTGTTCTTTATTATTTGACAATTACCCTAATGTCAGTCATTATTTTGTCTAATATCATGTTGTTGTTGAATCTTTGTGAGCAATTCTCGTTTTTTTGTCTATTTTCGTAGTCTTTTTTTCTTAAATTGCACCTTTAAGCACAACCAGTTCTTTTAAGAACTAAATTTTAGAGTTTTTGTATTGCATTTCTTGAAATTGTGTGTTGAAAATATACCGAAGCATTTAAACAGTTAAAGCAAACAGCTTGTAGCTTCCCTGATAAACAATTTGAACGAGAACAGGAAAATAAAGGTCCTTTATTACCCTTGACTGCAGTTAGAGAAGTAAGTTTGATTGATAAGCACATTATACCACTTTCAAAGTTAGTTTCTATTAAATTCTGTGATTATTAGTTTGTGCATTAATAGCACCCTCTTACTTTTTATTACCACTTATGGCATTGTAAGATGTACATTAATAAATAAATAAATTAATAAATAACCCATAATAACGTTTAGAATAATCTTCATAAGGGACTAGTTTTTGCCAATGTGTAAAGGTGACTTCCCACGGCCCGTAATTTTACAGGCCAGGCCGCGCCAGCTCGCGCCAACACGCCGAAGGAAGACGGTCGCCTGAGGTGGCGCGAAGAAGCGCGACGAATCCGCTTCGAGTCGTTAAGTTCAAAGGCCCGATCCAGCGCGGCGCGTTCATGCCTGTGCAGACCTGTTGATGTAGACAGACATAATCATTGTTTTTGCTACTCTTGTTGCTTTTGGTGGGTTTAATATGGAGTGGACGAACGAAATCACTTAATGTAAAAAAACTGTGTGAAATGACTTAAAATATAAAAATCAGGTTAGCCATAATGTCACTAGACTTCCATGGCACACTAAGTAAAAAAAAAGAAAGTGAAAGGGGATTACTTTTCCTCGCTCGGCTCTTATTATACGATGATGTCCACCAACGCCTTTTTTTCTTTCCCTTTTGATTCGTAAGTAACTAATACCCGTTAAAAAGTATGACAGCGGCTGCGGAACAGTTTTTTCTTCATCTGACATTACTGATAATTATCAAAAACAAATTGTTGATAATCACAAAATGGTAGGTAATCACCAATCCCGAACACTAGTAACCTCAAAAATAGGTAAACAGATGATTGGTTTTCAAAAGGTACTCGGGCACAAACACGCCGTGGGAAGACTTCCGCCTGCAGTCCGTGATATCTACGCGTCGCCCGTTTTTCCGTCGCGGCGCGGCGCGGCCTGTAAAACTACAGGCCATGGGAAGCCACCTTAACAAGTAAAATAAGCTGCAAAACAAATAAATCAATTAATTACTAAAATATTAGTTATTAAATTAAAAATGAAACGTAAAACTTTAAAAAATAATGACAAACAATATATTGATATAATCAATATATTGTTTGTCAATTTTAAATTAACGTTCATCTCATAAATCCATCACAATCTGGTAGCGCTGTCGCCATCGCTTGTCACTCAAAGTTGATCACGTGCATCGGAAATTGTTTTGCGATTACTATATTTTTACTTTTAAAATATATTGAAACACCTTGTAGATGACGATTTTTTACCTGAAATTCTCCTGATAATACTCTTCGTGTATAAATATTTGTAGTGTAGGGCTCGATACTTTCGTTATTTCCTAGAATTTGTGCAGTGGAAGCTGTAGGCATAGGAGCTATAAGCTGAGAATTACGAACTCCGTGTTTTGCAATTTTAGCCCTAAGAACATCCCAGTCCCACAAATTTGTGGGCCTAACGTTCCACATGTCAAACTGCAGAATTCCTTGTCTTATAGGTGAACCTAAAACAAAAAAAAAAATGGAATAGAAACTCCTTAATTTTTTCTCATTAAATAGGTATCAAATTTCAAGAAAGAATCTGTCAATTTTTACTAAAAAATTTACAGGGTGGTCCGAATTGTATTCCCGAAACTTCGGCAAGGATATGTCCTAAAATGCTTAGTTTCGGAGATACAGAGAGTAGTAGTTTCATTTTTATTTCGATTTTTTCCAAATAATTTCTGAAGTAACGTAAATATTTGAATAAAAATTAGTGTTCGGGAGTTTTTTGACATGAGAAATTTGATTTTGATGTCAATATGACTCCTATTTGTAGGGGGCTACATGTGTTTTAACTGTTTTGAAGAGTAATAACTTTTCATCCGGACCTGTATAAAACTACTGAGTAAAAAAATATACATTTACGACGTCTTTCATGTAAAAAATGTCTCTTTGTAAAAATAGCTACGAGCAACCGTTCTCAAGATATTTAGAATGGAAATAGTCAATACATGTAATTATTGACAAAAAATAAACATGTTGAGTAGATAGTTATTTGACTAAAATTATAAATTTGGGAACTTTATTTTTTTTAAATTAATCATAAAATTTTCTTTGAAAAAATTATGATAAAACAGTTTCTGTTGAACTTTTAACACAAAAAAGTTTCAAATTTATGATTTCAGTCTAATAACTACCTATTTAGACAACATGTTTAATTTATGTCAATTGTAACAGGTATTGATAATTTAGATTAGATAAAATATATTAGTTCGGCCTTTAGCGCTATTAATAAACCAATCTATAGCTTGCAATATATTTCCTAAGGTTTTCAAGACTGCAAAGGTGGTTCCCCTCTTTAAAAATAAGGGTTCAGTTGATGACTGTAACAACTATCGCCCCATATCTTTGCTGCCAATTTTATCTAAGGTTTATGAACGTATTCTAAAGAATCAAATCAATGAACATTTTGAGTTTAATAAACTATTCGCCATTAATCAATCGGAGTCAATACTGTTTTGTTTGCCGATGACACAACCTTTTACATAAGTTACCACCCCTTAGAGATTGACAATCTTGATTATCACACTTCACTAGAAAACCTAAATCAATGGTTTCTAGCTAACCGTCTATATTTAAATCACTCTAAATCGCAAAGTATGAACTTTACTCTAAGAAACAATATTAATTTTGATCACCCTGTACTTCATCATTGTGCAACAGAAGCCAAGTTTCTTGGGGTGCACTTAGACACAGGACTGACCTGGGAGAACCACCTTGTCAACCTGTCAAAAAAATTATCAAAAGAACTTTTCCTGTTTAGAAATCTTGTGCAGATAACCTCAAGAGAAACTCTTCTCACAGTATATCATGGCAACTTTCATTCCCATCTGACTTATGCTATTCTTTGCTGGGGTCATTCTTGTCATGTCAATAAGGTTTTTGCGCAGCAGAGGAAGTGCGTGCGTATTATTGCAGGGGTGGGTTACAGGGAGGATTGTCGTAATTTATTTAAAAAATTTAAGATTTTAACTTTGCCCTGTGTGTACATTATGCAGTGTTTGTTGTTCGTCAAGCAAAATCTTGATCTATACAGGTCACATGAATATTTTCACAGCTACCCAACAAGAAATAATAGCAATCTTGTACCGGACTTTTGCCGGCTTGAGAGATCCAAGAATGGTTCAAGATATTTGAGCATAAAGTTTTATAACCTGGTACCAGCTAGAATTAAGGCTCTTAATTTTAATCAGTACAAAACAGAAATCAAAAACTACCTTGTGATTAATGCATTTTTTTCTTTTGAGGAGTACTTCAGTTCCAGCTTTAGTCTGTATTTCATTTGTTTTGTCTATGTTAGTGTTTGTGTGTTGTATCTGTTCATTTATAACATATATTTGACATACATATTTGTTTTAATTTTAAGGTTTTAATGATTTTCTATTGGTTAATTGTATACATTTTATTATATAAAATTTGTGTATTAATGATGCAATGTAAAAACAACAAAAAAAAACTGTAGAAACTAAATTTTTATCAATTTTTATAATTTTATATATATATATTTTTTTTGACTTGTAAAAATACTTCTCTTGTATGTTATTACTAATAAATAAACTAAACTAAACTAAACTAAACTAGATTTCAAATATCTCGAGAACCATTACTCGTAGCGATTTTTACCTAGAGACCTTTTTTTACATAAAAAAATGTCGTAAATTTATATTTTTTTTACTCAGTAGTTTATACAGGTAAAACAAAAATTAAACTTCCACACCCTGTATCTCCAAAAATAAGCATTTTAGGACATACATTTATACAAACTTTTTTACTTATTTTTATCTGCAGAATATGCTGCCGAAGTTTCCGGAATAAAGTTTGGACCACCCTGTACATGAATAGAGGTCCCAACAGAAATGATGATCTACCTTCAAATGCTACTATGACGATGTTTTTTTCATCATACAGTAGTTTTTTATTGTTATGAACATTCTAAGCTAAAGGTACACATCTTGGTAACTTTATTTTTTTTTACTTTTAATTTTTTTTAATTTTTAAAATAATTTTTTTCTATTATTTTAATTTTGATTTTTTCATGTCAAAACTAATTCAAACCTTACCTTGGTAAGTGGAGTAAGTGCCCAATCGCTCAGCTAACTCGCAACTTGCTTCCAGAGCCCCATAATACAAGGTCTCAAAAATTTGTCTATTGAGCAAAGCCGCTTCTTCACTATCAAACGGAATTTTGAGCAAGATAAATGCATCAGCAAGACCTAAAGAAAAATAAATTCTTTGAAAAAATGATTTGTTTTTGGTTTTTAAACAACTAATAATTACCTTGGACACCGATACCAATAGGTCTATGACGCATATTTGAATTTTTCGCTTCCTGAAGGGGGTAGTAGTTGATATCAATTATTTTATCTAAATTTTTTGTAACGGTCTAAAATAAATATAGTACAGGACAATTTTTAAATTAAAAGTTATTATTATTATTTGTTATAATACTACAGAGTGAAATAAAACGGCGTCACAGTAGCTACTGAAAGGTCAATCAATTATATTTTCCGATTATCATTTCAAAGGCTACTGTGGCGCTTTTTCTTTTTCGCAATCAGGCGGTATTTACTCTTATCGACATTTTAATTTATACACATATATAAACTCAACGGCAAAAAAAACCGGCTACAATTTCAAAGTTGCTCAATTTCAAAGTTGGATTTCTGGTAAACCACTTATTAGATTTTGATGATTTTTTTTTAATTGTAAATTAATTCCTTCTTAACGGATGCTACGTCAGAAACTTTTTATTCCGAATTTATTTTGAGCATATACAGGGCACAACAATAAGGCGAAGTTTTTTGATCGAACTTTGTAACACCCTGTCTGTAGGGCGCAGCAGCTGTAGTAGCTATTGCTAAATCAAATCACATTGTAGCCTCATCTTTTGAGCATTTTGTTTTTTTAATCACGACATTATCTTTCTTTTTATTGGAAATACGCTGTTTTAAAACGAACGTCTCGGAAAAATGCTTCGCAGGCAGAAAGTTTTATGTTCAAGGCGACATAGGCGAAAACGGATTTATGAGTATTTGCAATATGACAGCAACCGTTGTCAAATTAAAAAATGCCATTATCTGTGACGGATGTTGCTTGTATTGTGGCTTTAATTGAGGATGGCCGAAGTCAACGTTATGTGTCCGATACCCTGGGCATATCTCGAACAACAGTCCAGGATTCGGTATATGGAAACGGGAAATTTCACGAGTGGATTCCGGAAGAAAACGGAAGAGAAATGCAATTGACGACCGTTTTATTGTCCTGAATACTTTACGAAATCGTAGAATTGCAGCGTTTCAGAATCAACATCTGCTACAAGCCGTGCGTAGAACTCAAGTCAGTGAGAGGACAATAAAACGAAGACTAAAAGAAAACAGCTTGTTTGCAATAGGGTTCCCAACTTGAGCATCGGCGATTCCGGGACAATTATTTTTAAGTTTTTAAATAATTGAAACAAAACATTAAATATTAGAAATTCAAATATATTATATGTAAATGTGATTTTTTTTGGTCCCGGCCAAGGCAAAATTTTCGCCGGGACAAACTTTCTGATTCCTGGTTAATCCCGGTCAAACCGGGACGGTTGGGAACCCTAGTTTGCAAGGAGGTGTGCCACAGGAACCCAGGTACTTCCAAGACATCGTCGAGCACGTCTTCAGTTTGCGCCCTTACATGTGAATTGGTTTGGTCGCGGTTTTACCTTCAAAGCATTAAGAACATCCGCCAAACAATAACAGAAATAATTTTCTCTAGTCAAAGTCAGAATCTTTAAAAATTATATAATCTTTCAAAATCGAAACCACTCTCATTGAAGAAATTCCGAAAGGTGTTTATAGCGTCCATTTTCAAAGTAATTATTGCTATTTGTGAGTTTAATTCAAGTCTTATTTATTCCAACCCGTGATAATTGTGAAAAAGTGGCATTAAAAACTTAAAAAGCTGTGCTGTGAACTGTGAACTGCAAAACCATCGTGGATCGTGGCATAACGTCGGTTTCCAATGTTTCATACATTTCATACATGTCCTAATATAAAATAAAGTTTCTTGTATGCTATGCAACACACTGTATTTTATTTATAAAATTAAAAGAAAATAATAATAAATTTGAATAAACAATATTTGGCGATATAATTCCGGAAAAAGCCGAACCGCTCCGAAATTTTAAAAAGCTTTGGGTCGCGACCATTGCAAGAATAGCGCCAAATAGTGTTTACATTGTCCTTATGGGCACTTTCCAATCTAAACTTGTTGCGAATGGGTTCCGGAAGAACACGGAAGACAAATGCAATTGACGACCGCTTTATTGTACTGAATACTTTAACGAAATCGTAGAATTACAGCGTTTCAGAATCAACATCTGCTACAAGCCGTGCGTAGAACTCAAGTCAGTGAGAGAACAATCCAACGAAGACTAAAAGAAAACAGCTTGTCTGCAAGGAGGCCTGCTACAGGAACCCAGCTACTTTCAAGACTTCGTCGAGCACGTCTTCAGTTTGCGCGTTTACATGTGAATTGGTTTGGTCGCGGTTTTGCCTGAAAGCATTTTTCCGAGACGTTCCTTTTAAAGCGTCATAAGTATCTCCAATACATACAGAGATAAAGTCGTGATTAAAAAAACAAAATGCTCACAAAAGATGAGGCTACAATGTGATCTGATTTAGCAATAGCTATTACAGCTGCTGCACCCTACAGGCTGTCACAAAGTTCAAGCAAAAAAAACCTCGTCTTATGCTCAAAATAAATTTGGAATAAAAATTCGTGGCGTAGCATCCGTTAAGAAATTAATTTGCAATTTAAAAAAAAATCATCAAAATCTAATCAGTGGTTCGCGAGAAATCCAACTATGAAATTGGGACTAGTTTTTAGTGGCCCGTTTTTTTTGCCGGTGAGTGTACATACCTTTGTGACTTCTTTTAATTTATTAAAATCAAAGTTCTTCCTATCAGATGTGACAAACATATTGACGGCAATAGAAGCCAAGTTGCACACGGCTATTTCATCTGGTGCAGTGTACTCGATAATTTCAGTGCACAAATTACTACTTTTTATCGTTCCTAAGTTCTTCTGATTCGATTTCCTGTTACAAGCATCTTTGTACAGCATATAGGGAGTACCAGTCTCAACTTGCGAGGCTATAATAGCGCGCCACAAGTCTTGTGCACGTACCTGTCTAAACAAAAAATAATTAATAGATAATATACTTCAAAGAGAAATACAAGCGGAGAGTTATGAATACGGAAAACAGACAAAGCTCCTATTTATCGACTTTCAGCAGGCATATGACAAAGTTAAAAGGACGGAGGTGTTTAGAGCATTAACAGAATTAGGGGTTAGCAAGAAACTGACCAAGATGATAAAATTGACACTCCAAGAGACAGTAAATGAAGTCAAAGTAAACAAGAAAACAACGGAAAAATTTATAATCAGGGACGGATTAAGACTCCACTATCTCCAGTACTGTTTAGAGTAGTATTAGAAAAAAATATAAAAGACGCGGGAATCAACAGAGAGGGCCTTCTGTATACAAAAAGACACCAATGCTTAGCCTTTGCCGATGATTTGGTCATCTTAGCAAGAGATCGGAAAGAGCTGATATTGGTGACCAAAAGACTAGAACATCAAGCGCAAAAAGTAGGCTTAGTGTTTAATGAGAATAAAACGAAATTCATGGAGTGGTCAGATAGAGATTTTGAGAAGGGAAGATGTCTACAACTGAAGTCTGAGAGAGGTAAACGATACAAGTTTGAGGAAGTGGGTACATTCACATATCTGGGAGCAGTATTTCTAAGGAATCCAAATGTAACTCAAGAAATTATGGCAAGAATAATGGCAGGAAATAGATGTGTCAGCGTATTACAGAAAATTATTAAGAGTAAGAACATTTCTAGTTTAAAAATCAGAATGTACCAAACAATGGTAAGACCAATAGTGCTGTATGCATGTGAAACGTGGACGTTCAATGCAACACAAAGTTCGAGGCTAGAGATTTGGGAACGAAAAATACTGAGGGAGATTTTTGGAGGAAAGAAGATACCAGAAGAACAAATGAAGAAGTAAAGCAACTATATCGGGCACCGAATATAACGGGAGTAGCAAGAGCACAAAGACTGAGATGGCCGGGACACATTGAACGAATGGCTGAAGCAAGTATTCCTAGTATGATAATGAAACGTGAAATAGGTGGAAAGAGAAGAGGGGTAGACCGAGAATCAGATGGAAAAAGGATGTAGAAGAGGACTTGAGAACGATAAGAGTGGATGGGTGGAGAATAAAGGCGAAAGACAGAAACAAATGGAAAAAGATAACCAATCAAGCCATGAGCCTTTTAGGCTTTTAGAGCTATTTTATATTTATATACTTCAAAGTATAAAACATTCAGATTTGTATCTAAGGTAGATCATAGAAATTTTTTAATTCATAAAATAGTTAAATATTTTTCTTAGTTACCTCACAAATCTGTTTTCCTTCTCATATTTTTCGTATAATTGTTCAAACTTCTCGCCATAACAATCTGATAAGCCAGGACTTTGATGTGGACACATCAAAGACCATGTATCATCCGATTCAACCCTCTTCATGAATAAATCCGGTACCCATAGGCCATAAAACAAATCTCTTGCTCTCATTTCTTCTTTTCCTAAAAAAAAATCATGTTATGGATAACATCAAAAATATATCTTACGATCGAAAAAAAAGGAAAAAAAAAGGAAAAAAAAGGTCTTCAATCAACCTAATAAATTTTCTTAATATTTAAAAAGAACACCCTGTATTATGCATCATATGTGAACGATAGTTTTCATATAAATTTACGTTTTGATACATAATTTGTGGATAAAAAATAGAGACGTTGTTATGCATTTAAAGGTGCGTATTCATTATCCGAACGAACGAACGAATGAAAGTGCGGTATATTTAGACGGGGACCGAACGCATGCGGCCGTTCGTTCGCTCGACCATCCGTTTCGAGTCGGTACATCAAAGGCGTTCGCCAACAAATGCCTCCGGTCTTCTCGTGCGGTCCTATCGTGCGGTCCCCGTCCATACCACTAGCGAACATTCGTTCGTTCGTTCGTGCGGATAATGAATACGCACCTTAAGATTGGCTTGACATAAATTATTATAGATTGTAATTTCAAAGGGCATTCTGACGACGTTTTTGTCTCACATTGTTTACAGAAATATAAATTAAAAACAAATACCTGTATTTTTCCTTAAATTTAAAAATTCAAAAACATCAGCATGCCATGGCTCCAAATATATAGCAAATGATCCAGGTCTTCTTCCACTTTGATCAACATATGTTGCCGTGCTGTTGAACACTCTCAACATGGGTACTAAACCATTTGATGTACCACCAGTACCAGCAATTATTGTACCTGGAAAAATAAAATAAAAAACATTAAATTTACCCTATATACCCAAACACAAACATTTCCTTACCTTTGGCTCTAATATTATGTACATGAACTCCAATACCTCCTGCCATTTTAGTGATTAGAGCACACTGAGCAAGACAATTGTAAATACCATCAATGCTATCGTCAGGCATTGCGAGCAAGAAGCATGAAGATAACTGCGGTCTCGGTGTGGCTGCATTAAAAAGTGTAGGACTGGCATGTGTAAAGTACTTTTCAGAAAGCAAATTATAAGTTTCAATAACAGACTCAATGTCTTCGCCATGAATACCTAAAATTACAAATTTAGAATAACTTTCTCAACAAATCAAAAATAAAATACCTAGAGCAACTCTCATTAACATGTGCTGCGGTCTTTCTACAATTTTCCCATTAATTTTAAACAAATAAGATAGTTCCAGTGTCTTAAAACCAAAATAGGTATATGAAAAATCTCTGTCGTAGATAATACATGAATTAAGTTGATCTGAATTGTTCATAACTATTTCATAATGCTTATTTGAGATCAATGGGGTTTGTAACTTAGTCTTTTCGTTAATTGCATGGTACAGATCATGTATTACATCTAAAAATTAATGTACCTTAGGGATAATTGTGGTATTTTATATAAATGTATTTACCGCTAAAGTTTTTTTTAGTTTGCTTATGTAAATTTGATACGGCAATTCTTGCAGCTAAAATGGCATAATCGGGGTGATCTATAGTCATAGTGGCAACTGTCTCAGCAGCTAAAGTATCCAATTCAACCGTGGTAACGCCAGGATACAATCCACTAATAACTTTTAACGTAATTGAAAGCTGTATGCAAATATAAGTATTTAATATTAGTATATCCAGTACACATATTAAGACGTTTTTTTATTTGTCAATATAAAGTAAAATTACATGTTTTATCTGTAGAAAAAATTTAAGTGATATAAATTTAGGTAACCTATATCTTAGGAAAATTATTCAACTCACCGGATCTACAAAGTCCATATTTAACCCGTAGCATAATTTCTGTATTCTGGAAGTAATTTTGTCCAGATAAACATCTTCATGTCTTCCATCTTAAAAGAAATATTAAAGGTACAAATTCAGAAAGGCAATAATGTATTTGAAATGCAGACTTACTTCGTTTTATCACGTATAACTTTGGTGTAGGTTTGGGAACCATTTTTGTTACTAATAGTTAATATTAAATCAACTGAAAAATGTTTATAAAAATCTGAGATAACTGTAGAAGAAAATTGTTGTGTGTTGTGTTACCGATTCCCGCCAATTGCCGCCAATTATTTGACGTGTGATTTGACGTTTGACTTGTGTTCGACCTTAACCATAGAATATCCCTTGAATATCCTGATTATAATATCCATAGAATAAAAGCATAAGCTTCAGGGTTGTAGTAGATAAATCTACGTACCTAAAAATGGAGGCAGAGAAAATGTACAGGTTGGGGCATATTTTAGCGCCATTTTCGAGGTTTTAAATATTTTAGAGTATTTTTTATATCAAAAGAGAATGAAATATGTGTGTAAAGAATTATTATTAAAACGTTAAATAAATGAAGCTTATCTAAATTATTTCTGCCTGAATTTACACTTTAACTTTGTTTAGTTTAAATAAAATTAATGGAATTACAGAAGTCTTACAAATTGTAGTAAAATAAAAGGCATCAGAGATCAATATTTCTTTAAAACTTTTAACACATTTTAAAGGTATATTTTACTTAGGATGTGGTAGAAATTAACCAGTTTTAATATCGAAGTCCAGTGCTTTCTACAATAAGTACTATAACCGCAATGAAATTAATGCAATAATAATTTTTAATAATACCTGAGAGATCTTAGCTGGCCAGGAGAATATAGGCATTATGTACGTAACCCAATTAGAGTACGAGCAAGTTCTCTTCGTCTTGCAAACGGTTGAAGTTGGCGATTGCCTTCCATAGCGATAGCAACCCCTAAGCCTTCTTTATTAGGTCGTCTGAGTTAATAGAGTAGGTACTTACATTTCATACCCATTACCATCCCATTACCTTATACCAGTTACTTTATAAATATATTATGTTCATACCAAATGAACTTTTACTCACGTGATTAAGCTTGACCGGCACAGCGTTGCCCACTTTTATATAGTTTCTGTTAATCAAAATATTTTAGGAAACAACAGTTATTATTTACATGAATAAAACTCATCTTCTTATAACAGCACTTAAGGGACATAAAGGAGGGTCATTATTATCGCTTTACAGTTCAAAATATTCTAATAAATTTGCGATGAGTTTTTTACGGCTATCAAGCTATCTAGTACACTTCGCACTACAAAATATATGTATTAAAATCTATAGAAAGTTTTTCTTGTTACCTGAATTAGAAAAGTTATGTTTAAGTAAATTCTTAAACATATCGTTTGTAGTATTAATATTCCAAATATTAATATGAATATTCTAAAGGCATAAAATACTACAAACGATATGTTTAAGTGTTTACTTAAACATAACTTCTAATTCAGGTAACACTAAGAAAAAATTTCTAGATATATTTTAATTTTAATACATATGTTGTAAAGGACGCCTATCAAACCTATAGGTTAGATGAGATTTATATTAGGGCGATTTAAGTAAAATTACTGAAAATTTGATTACTCTTTTATTATATTTTTACTTACAAATTCGTGTACACTACTGTTTTCATCAGTTTTAAAACCTTCATCAAGTCTTCTAACTTCATCAAGGGTGTTCATGGGAAAATTTCATCTTGTTACTTTGTTACCCCCCAATGTGACCATGTGACCATCAGTACCGTTATTATAATTATCCCGCGGAAGTTTCTTCTACTGTTTAGATATATTAGGTATGACCTGCCCTTCAATAACTCAACTTGTGGAAAATACACAGATTTTAAATTTTAGATTTTTCTTCCGTTATGTTAGATTATTATGTTTATATTATGTTGAAGAAACACGGTGAAGCACATTTGTATCTGGCATATTAAAATGATTCTAACCCTAGAAATGATGCACCAGCGGAATATCATTATAGATATATAAAATACATGAAGTTTTGTAACGGATCAGCGTATATTTACTATGTATAACTATACAAATTTGTATAGAGTTAATAAAGGATAATAAATTTCAGTTAGTCAGAATATGGCCATGGTTGGCAACAACGAATTTAAAAATCGCGCCCTCGATTACGTAACTAAGAGTTTAATTGATATCAAATATACAGGGTCCGGCAATAGTGCGTCGGGCATCTGTAGCTCATAGAATAAAAAACTTGAGAATTTTGTTGAAGTGCAGACCTAAAGTATGTACCAGGATGTATTTCGGGAAAATATTTTAACTTCTATAGGGTGGCTCAAAAAAGTGTGAGTGGACCTGGATGATTTTTTTTAAATGGAACAACCTGTATATTATTGCATTTTTGGCTTCCTTTCAGATCACTTTACATAACCCTAAGATATGAATAAATATATTTCGATAGTTTCAGAGTTATTAAAAATTAAATCAAAAATATATATTTTTCAGCCCCTCTTAAAAAATTATTAAAAATACAAGCACTGTCCTGAAATAAAAACTATATTAGGTATTTACATTAGATGGTCTGTTCTCACTTTGCTATAAATATGATAATCGTAAATCATACAGGGTGTTCAATATTCTACGACAAACTTTCTAAAATTTAAAATATTTTTTCTTTGTTTTTTAAACACCGTGTATATTATTTTTTTATTAGATGGAGAGTAAAAAAGTGAACATTTTTTGTATTTAGAGTATTTCAAAATTTTTAACGATTTCGCAGATACACGTAGTTATTTATTTCATATGGCGCTTTCAATGGTAAAATATGAGAGAAAAATCATTGGTTGGCTTTGATAAAAATTTACTGTGGAAAATGCCATATGAAATATAAAACCGCAAATATCTGCGAAACCGTTCAAAATTTTGAAATACTCTAAATACAAAAAAATGTTCATTTTTTAATTCTCCGTCTATTGAAAAAATAATATACAGGGTGTTCCATTTAAAAAAAAACGAAGAAAAATTATTTTATATTTTAGTAAGTTTGGCGTAGAATTTTGAACATCCTGTATAATTTACGATTTTCATATTTATAGCAAAGTAAGAACAGACCATCTAATGTAAATACCTAATGTAGTTTTGATTTCAGAACAGTTCTTGTATTTTTAAATTTTTTTAAGAAGGTCTGAAAAATATATATCTTTGATTTATTTTTTAATATCTCTAAAACTATAGAAATATATTTATTCATATCATAGGGCTATGTAAAGTGATCTGAAAGGAAGCCAAAAATGCAATAATATACAGGTTGTTCCATTTAAAAAAAATCATCCAGGTCTACTCACACATTTTTTGAGCCACCATATAGAAGTTAAAATATTTTCCTGAAATACACCCTGGTACATACTTTAGGTTTGCACTTAAAGAAAATTCTCAATTTTTTTATTCTACGAGCTACAGATGCCCGACGCACTATTGCCGGACCCTGTATACACTTAGTTACTGAAATCCCTAGAAATATTTTTTTTCAATCGATTATGATCGAAAAAAAAACGCCGTCAGTGATGTTTATGAAATAAAGATCGCTGTCATTTTATATGTAAAATTATATGGGGAATGTCATCGATCGTAATTTCCATGCCAACAGGTCGCCGTTTTTTCCGATCATACGGTACCCATACAGCACATCAAATCACATTTACGATGTGTTTACATTATTAGATGTAGACACAGGGTGACACAATTCCCCCGATGTAAATATGCTACGTTTACACATTGTAGTTCAACACGTATGCACAAAGGTTAAACGTCCGCCTCACAATGTAGCCACAGTATAGCATTTACGTATACACAAAGTAAGGGATACACAGTGTGCCGTAGGATACACAGTGCTTGTGTATTACGTTTAAACTCTGTTTACACATTGCAGTTGTGACTACTGCGTGTATACGTATGTATTTTGCTTCGTATATACATCTTGTGCTAGATAAAACTACTTCTTATGAACGAATTTAGGAAATAATACAAGTTTTGAGGCCTAACTTTTCGTTCTTTTTAAGAAATATTTATTCAATGATACCAATTATATCTTTTTAGAACGAAAATTAGGAAGGCAAAGCTTTGTGTTATATTTTCCAAAAGTATCTCGATCGTAAGTTCAAGAGAAGTAGCCTTAAAATTGTTCCATTTTTGTTTTGTATTAAATGTACCATTTTTTTCTCCATTAAATGGATTAAGTGGTTAAAAATAAAATTCTTATATTTCTTTACATCATGGAACGCAATAGCGTAAATAACACAATAATAATAATTATTTACACTGCAGAAACCAGAAGTAAGAAAACACTGTAAAAGAACAGAATTTGTATCAAAATGTATTAAAAATATAAGTACCTAGTATAACAACATACTAAAATGGTAAACACTGGTATATCGCCACGATTTGGTGGACCTCGTTTAGTCATTTTTTTCTCTTCTTTTCCCTCCAAGCAGTTGGTTTGTTAGCATACTCATTCATCGAGATTAACAATCTCAGATTGACAATCTCACCCTTAAATTTTATATGAAACTGATTATTGAATATTAAACATACCTGTATATTGATCCATCAATAACTTACCGAATATCAGCGTAAGAAGTTCGTTGAAGTGTTTAAATCTTTTTTTCTCTGGTCCATTTAGATTTTTATTATTTTCAAATTAAAAAAAATTATATTGCAGAGCTAACCTCTTTATCATTATACGAGAATATTTGGAGTTTTCATTCATTGGAGTCAAAATTTGGTAAATTGGGTATCGAATAAGGGAAGAATCGCTGCTATAATATTAATAATACTCTTAGGAAGGTGTAACAAGGTAATTAAAAACTTGTGCTTACCTTAAAATCTCTTTTAAACTACACACAAACAGAACATTTATATAGAGCTTCCGAAGGCTGCTAACACATACCACTCCTAGAAAGGAGAAAGGAGGGAGAACACATAAGATACACTTGGTCGGTGTGTCTACGCTGAGGCTATCCGCGCGTGCTATCTTCACTTCATGCTAGAATGTAGACACAACAGTACACTATTAGAAATTGTCTATATAGATATTTATATTATGTGTATACGTCACATTTTTACAAGGTGTGTACTATAGGCACAACTATGATACGAAGTATCACACATACATATGACATTACATTGTATGTCTCATATACCGACGTCAGATTTGATCATTTTAATAATTATTTGTTACGTTACAAAAAACTCTTTAGAATCTTGAGTGCATACGGTATACAACTAG